GACCCGACCCGGGCCGACCCGCAGCCTAATGAGACCATCAGGCAATAGCCGGAGCCGCAATGCCAGTGGCAGCTTTAAAATATTCAAATAGAACAATCAAAAGTAATCTCCCAAGTTCCTTTTGGCTGCCTATGCGCCAAAGGAAGCCCCCGAAGAGGTGCCAAAAAAAAAAACACAACACAACACAACAGAAAGAAAAGTAAAACAATAAAAACTTGAGCAAGAAAATTTCCCCAACGAGCAATTCTTTTATTTCTTCTCTTGGCACACACACACACACATTCAAGAAGAAGCCAAGAAACGAAACCCAAAACCCAAAACCCAAAACCGAAACTAAAAAGTAACCAAAAGAAAGAAAAAAAGAAAAGCAGAGCTGAACAGAAACTGTGGCAACAATTTTTACGTATGATAAGAAGGAGCAGAAAAAGGGGAGGGGGGTGGGGGCAGGGCAGGGACTCGGGGATGAGGCAACCCACGAGCCTGTGTACTTTTCAAAACTGTTTTAAAAGCTTAACCACGAGAAAACTGCGAATATTCCCTAATGACAGAGCGGCAGGCAACGGCAGCTCTACGGCTCCACGGCTCCACGGCTCCATGCCATCGTTGCACGGTGTCGGGCGGAGTGGGAGTTGCGAAAGCCAGAAAATTCGGCACAAAGTCGAAGGGGGATCCGGGGGTAAATGCTGGGCCTAGGCTCTTGCCGCCGCCCCTTAAGAATGTTCCCTAAATTTTTGTTGTTGTTTTTTTTGGAGTGATGATAAAGGCCTCGTTTGGGGGGGTCTGGGGCTTAGCCATTCACCATTCACTCAATTGCTGTGAATCTCCTCTCACCAGAGATAGGCATAGGCGTAATCACAGTTCTATGGGGAAACGGAAAAGGCGATTGGAATACGGAAATGTGGAAATGTAGAGGGAATGCAGGTTATCAGAGACCAAATGCGACGAGTGAGGACCATTTCATTGCTTCATTTGCTAATGAATCAAGTGTGACAAACGCTTGGCTTCCAATGTATTCCCTAAATCGATAATTCATTATATTTAAATTCCTTTGGCAGATGAGCATATAGCAGGGACAACACTTTGTCACCGGATCTTTGTTACACGAGGAACGAAACGGAATCTGTCATTTTGGCTCCTTGAACACCTGGCTTTTGACGCAGATCAAGTTTCAAGCTATAAATGCAAGAAGAATGAACGAAAACAATTAGAACGGAAAGACAAAGACGTGTGAAAAGTCTCTCTCCCTCTCTCTCTCTCTCTCTCAGCCCACTCCCCGCCCACTCGCACACTTCCCGACTCCCGGCCGCCTCTCGGGGGACCCACAAAACGCTGCCACTTGAGGAACTTTTAGTGCGTCTCAATGCGCATTTTAAATAAAATAGAAATTCAATTTACTTTAAATAAGCGCCAGGGAGTGGCAGGGGTAGGTGGTGTGGTGCGGTGGGGATAACAAGGTGACAAGCAGGCGACACGTCAATGCCAGAGTTTCCACAGCACAAATGAAACGTAGAAACTCTGAAGCAGCAAGAAAAGCGAGCAAAAAGCCAGAAAAAGTGAGAAAAAGCGAGAAAAAGCGAAGCGCCACCAAAGAAATATAAAAGAAAAACTTTTTCGAAATGAACTTCAAAATTGACTAAATGTTCTAGAAAAAAGGTGCGAAGCAGCGGCGGCTCCCAGGGGAATGTACGAGGCTTTTCAGCGGATCAGAACAAGCGACGAATATAATTAAGCGGCGTTTAAAATGCTTGTACTAAGACCTGCCGCAGCACGGTGTGGCATGGGCGGCCACGCCTGCCCTAATTGGGGGGCAGCGATGGTGGAGGAATGGAGGGATGGATGGCAGCCAGAGCCGCCACCACGACAAAACTTTCCTCAAAGTTTAATTTAAATATGAATGAGCATTCTCCCCTCGTAGTACCTGCCTTTCGCTGGATTCTGATTATTATGGACTCTGCTTTCGCCTGCCTGGAAGTTTTCCTCGCCATCCTTGGGTCCATACATAATCGGAATTCGTTAGTTCTCCCGGGAGTCCCTGGGAATACTTCGGTACACAAGAGACGTAGGACAGAGAAGGACAAAAGCGTACCATGCTGCAGCTATATTACATTTTTCGGCTCGGAAAGTGGTCAAAACTTTCCATTTAAAAAGTAGGACGTGCAGGAAGAGGCCAATGGGGAAGATCCCTCAGATATAGGCGGCTATGAAACGGTTACGAATCGGTTATGCATTAAATATGTGAAACGTTTGCCATGACAAATCGATATCAATGCCCCTTGAACCCTGCTTGACACCACCTGGTGTCGATGAATCCTCGATTTAAATTCTTTTGAAATTTTTGAAAAATGATTTTGAAAAGATTCAAAGGGAATAGTCTTTTTCCTACTTCAAGGAACATCTCTTGAGCTCATTCTGAAGGCTGAAAATGGTGAGGCTGCTCTGAAATGTGGCTGCCGCTGCCCCCACGTTTTGGGGGCATTATAAATTGCTCCCTAATCCGAGAGGCTTAGAGATCCTTTGCTTGTTTTCATTGCCATCGGATGACGCAGGGGTGAGAGGTGTTCTTGGGCTTTGATTTGGCTCGCCTCGCCCCCCACAGCAGGGATTGTTGGCCATATTGCTGGCACTTCTGCAGCTTTTCCATCTGGCAATGATTTTTGTTGCCAGGTGATAAGGCAAATCGCATTGCCTCTGGCCGTGGCCGTGGCCGTAAGCCACAGAAAGGGATCAGGCGGCCAAGGGGAGCAGCCGGAAAACCTCTGCCACATAATTATAAACAAGCTCAAGTGCACTCACACAACAGAGAGTAGTGGAGCACAGAGAGAGGGAGCGAGGAAGAGGGAGAGGGAGAGCGTGAGACGTCTCCAGTGGAGGCCAGGCGCCAAGCTGGCGGACGCCGTGCCCCCATGACAAAAGGGAAAACTCCTTACGCAGAAAAAAAAGGAAAGGAAAAAGAAAAGCGGGAAAAACAAACAAAAATAGACATAAATACAGTTGGGGATTTTTCTATGAGCGTAAAAGAGAGACACTTGTAACACTTTTGCGACTGAGACTGAAAAAGAGGGAGAGAGAGATACGTCTCCTTCTCACTCTCTGGATCTCTGTTTCCTCTCTAATCAATTTATTGAATTTATTTTGCTGATTTTATTAAAGCGCGCAAAAAGCATTCGCCAGAAAAGTAGAACCATTTTTCGGCAGACAAAATATCTATTGACAGCCCATCGAGTGGGGCGTGGCCCTGAAAATGTCCTTCAGGGTGTACAGGGTGTGCAGGGTGTGCAGGGTGTGCAGGGTGTGTGGTGTGGCGGCAAGTAGATTTCGTTGGCGCCTGGCATAATTAAGTTAGAACCTTTTTTTGCCGCCATCGCAGTCGCCTTCGCTGCCGCCGCTTTGTGACGTGACTCAGGCTCCTCAACCACCCATGCCACATGCCACATGGCACATGCCAGCAGCCACCAGCCAGCAGCCCACCCTCTCTCGACTGTCGATTGTTATTGTTGGCGCTGCTGAAAGGGCGCTCTGATTGCTCTCTGCCACAAGGATGTGTCTAGGACACGCTCAAGCAGTTAACACACTCCGTCTGTACTTAGGCTAAGCCCACGAAAAACTAAACAGAATGAGTGCCAGAAAGAGAGTGGGAGTAGGGAGAGAGATGGGGAGATGGCGAGATGGTTTTACCCAAAACATCCTTGATGCAAGCAAATGGTTCGCTAAATGATAATCCCTTCGCCCATCCACACTCCACCATCCACCATCCGCCATTCCGATTCCCATTCTACCATCCCTGGGGCTGTAAGCAAACACTTCGCTGCTAAGGGGAGGCTTCAGAGAGGGTAATGGAAACCGTTCTCCATAAATAGAGCCATGAAAATCAGATGATTACCCATCAAACAGATTTTAAGTTGAACACAGGAGAAAACCCAATCAATTTTATATCGAAATCTACATTTTTCCCACAATCCTGCAGCGTCCAAACGTTTTTGTCGGGCCACATTAGCTTCGATGACACTTGGAACGATGGGAATGCAACTTTTTTTATGAAAACTAGCGCACATTTCCATATATATGGCATCTGAAGAGCTGATCTTCTGGTTACTAGAGAAAAACCAAACAATTTCCTCACTAAATCCATTATTTTCACAATTCTTAAATATCCGAAAGCTTTTGTCGATTTACATTTGCGCTAATGGCACTTGGAACGATGGGAATGAAACGTTGAACAGAATTATAAGAATTGCTAGCTTTTGTATTGATTTAAATGGCAGCTGGAACGATGGGAGAGAAACTTTGCACAGCTTAAGCCGTCGGTTAGCATCGGTTGAGGCTTTGGCTTATATCCTCTATAACCGAAAGCCCTCCCCACACCCAACCCTTGACTTTGAACTCTTTTGTACCCGATTTGTGGAGGGAGTGGATGTGTGTAACACCCAGAAAGAAGTGTTTCCGACCCCATAAACCATACATATTCTTGATCAGCATCAAGAGCCGAGTCGATACAGCCATGTCTGTCTGTCCGTCCTGTTTAACGACTCTCAGAGACTATAAGAGCTAGAGCAATAATAGCACTGTTGCAAGTAATAAATGGAAGTAGATAAATTCGAATGTGTAAAAACGGAGTCCCAAACGGTTCCATCGGTTATTATATATTATCATAATACATTGTATTAATTGCATAAATAATCTCGGTTGTATACCGACTATAAAGGTAGAACTGCGGCCTATGCCGCGGCCTACAGCGTTTCCCCTCGCTTTGAGCTGAAAATGTGATTCATTTCCAATTCAAAAACTTTGGCAATTACAAATCTGCTGTACAGAAAACGTTTTTTGGCACTTTTTCCAGTCGAGAGATGAAAAAGCATGAAAACATTATTATATTAAAATTGTTTAAATTGATATTTTGGTGTGGCACTAATTGTTGAAACAGTTGCAGCAACACTTTCCTGGCGTATCTGCATACAGTTTTTCCTCATGTTTTTCCTTCCTTTCTACGTTTTTTTTTCCAGTTGGTCGGCGGCGAATTCGATATGGAATTGAATTTTGTGATACAGGATGCGCAGAATATCAAACATATGCTGGAGCTATTGGATCATTGTCCGCCCAATTTGCAGGTGAGTGTCTGCCCGCCGCCATTTCCCCATTTCTCCATTTCTCCATTTTCCAGTTTGAGTTCCGGATGAAATTATATTTTATTTCAAAAATACTTTTATCTCTCTCTCTTCCTGTGTGTGTGTGTGTGTGTCTGTATGTGTGTTTGTGTTCGTTTATTTTCGGGTGACTTTTTTAATAGAATTTAATTCAATTCGCGCTGCGGCATCAAAGAAAATTAACAGCCGGCAGCAGCAGGAGGCAGCAGGAGGCAGCAGGGGGCAGCAGGGGGCGGGGCGTGGCTGCCAAAATTGCGCGTAATGAAAACGCAACATCAACATGAAATGGCTTTCAACTGCTGCTCCTGCTCCTGCTCCTGCTGCTGTGTGTTTTTTCTGGGGCTGCCTTTTTATACCATAACGATGCTGTTGCTGCAATTGGAGCAGCGATGGCCCCTGCAGAAGGGTGTCGAAAGATGTCGAGTCGAGGAGTCGAGGACTCGTCGTCCTCGTTTCGGTGCCGTTGTGCCATCAAATTATTAGCATGAATGCTAGCAAAAAGGATCCGCTAACTTTTCAACTCGGCATTTCTGTGTGTGTGTTGCCAGGAAGTGTTCTCCTCTGTGTCCTGTCGCTCCCCTGGAGTCCCAGGGGCAGACATCGGATGCTGGGAGGAGTAACAGTAACCGTGTCACAGCGACAACAAATCGCAACAAAGTTGTTGCTTAATGAGTTTTCATTTCATTAGTTCTTTGACCCCGAAATACCCCACTCCCCCACCCATGTGCCACGCGCCACGCACCACGCGCCACTCTTTGCTTGCCTTTTTCCACGGAAAACTACTCAAAAAGTTATGCTAGAATAAATGCCAGCCCAATACAAAGGCTGTGCTGTCCTGGAAACCGATGGAAGTTGCTTGCCAGACTGGCTTCCCAAGGAAAAGCAGCATGTTTGCCCCTTTTACACCGCTACCGAAACGAAATCATCAGGAATCACGACCATTATTTCTGCGAATTGTTCGGGAATGTCCACATTTTTGTAACTCAACCAAAATATATGAGGATTTCATGCATATTTAAATTCTGCCAAATATCCATGCCATTGTGGGGCGCCTTTCGTTTCGTTCGTCGGAATTTTCCACGCATTTTTGACACTTTTTCCGACACCCACCGCAGCTCTTTGTGGGTTGGCTCCGTGGGCGCCAGGAGGTTCGGGGGAAATCTGATTGTGTGGGCGGTTGGGCAGGTGGTTCCAGAGCTAATGTGCGTGTGGGCGTGACGCCTCGGCAGGTCCCACTTCTAAGCCTTCCCTGTTACCATCGTTCTTTCACTCCCTCGTCTTGCTCCCTTTCCTCTAACTACTCTTTAATGATATGCAAGTGCGTGTGCGTGTGCGTGTGCTGCGGGATGCGTGATTGTGTGCTTGTTTTACCCTTTTCCAGAAGCGGGTATCATTATTCCGCCCACAGAGCCCACCGATGAATACGAATACAATCTTCTTACCCCTTAGCCCCTTCTTCATAGATCAACCATAGATCCCAGAGGCTGCATCGGAAAAGGTATCTCTTCAGTCTGCCTTTTCCCTTTTCCTTTCTAGCGAAATACCTGTGTGTCTTGTGGGTGTTTGCGGTTGAATGCTGGCACAATTTATTTGGCTTTTTAAATTAATGAAAATTGTCAGTGACAAATTTTCCCCACCCTTCCTCTCCTGCTCTCTCCCTCTCTGTGTCTCTGTGTCTCTGTGCTCTCGCGAGCATGTGTCGTCCCCTGGATGGTATGGCTGTTGGCATATGTAAAACAAGCATCAAATATGCATCATTTGCGGGGGCGGAGAGCCAGGGCTGGAGGCTGGAGGCTGCTGCCTTCGAAGATCTCTCCAGTTCATTTGGCATGCGTGGCAGGTGCGAGTCCCCTCGTCCCCCCGTCCCCTGCTACGAATTTACAACAATTTTATGGCCAGGCCGCGCATTGAGTAAACATTTTGCATAGATTCGAAGGAGTCACGAGAGCCGCAGAGCAGAGCGGAGCGGAGCGGTGCGGACTTAAATGATTTATGTGTAACTACAGTACGGGCTTCCCACTACCGCCGAGTGCCACCCGTTTTATGGCTGCCCCATTTTACAGCTGTCTGCCACCCCGCACCGCACCGCACCGCACCGCAGCGGCAGTGGCAGTGGCAGTGGCAGCAGTAGCCGTCACTCAATTGATTCGGCACGTAGCCGGAGCACATCGGGGGCAAGTGCAAATAACTGTTTTAGCCACTGGTCCCGCAGGTGGTCCCACTCCTTTCATGGCCATAACATTTTATACTTGACAATAAATCGCAACGCCCTTTGCCCCCGCCCCAGCCCCCTTCCTCGGGGGTGATGGCAAATCAAAGCTTCTTTTGAAAATTAAGGCCGTAATGCGGCCTACCATACCCAAGCCAGGACCCGACCCCTCATTTCCCTCCCCTTAACCGCATATTTGTCGTGGCTCGTCGCCCAGTGCGCCGCCCATGCCCCATGCCCCATGCCCCGTGCCACAATGCTTCATGCTTCGTGTATGCTCAATAAAATTTTACAGCCTTTGCCGCCAGCTCAGCAATTTGCGTAACTCTTGCCACAGTCGGGCCGGGGCATGGCCCCGTCCTCCTGGCGCAAGGGCAAGGGGTTAAGGGGGCGAGAGAATCAACAGCCCAACACCTTTCACCTTTCGTCGAATTGGTTTCCCGCTTTTTTTTTACCTTACCTTTCCTTTCGTTTTCTTTTGCTTTTGTAGCTTTTTGTTTGTCCTTTCCGGAGGACCCGTTCGCCTTTCGCTTCTTTGCCTTCTTTTGGGGGCGAAGCCTCGCACCTGGCGGCAGCTGCTGTAAATAACATTGTTAGGGCTGCAAACATTTACAAAGACCCCCATCGATGACCAGGGGCTGGGCAGGGACTGGGACAGGGACTGGGCCTGTACACACTGTGGGGCAAATATCTCTCGAAAGGGAATGCGGAAACCCCATTAGACAGAGTCGTAGGGGACGAAAATAAAACACTTTAAAGCCAGAAGAAGCAGAAACACTCGCGAGCCCCCTCTCTGGCAAGTATCTGGAAAGTTGTGTATCTTATCTCCATTCGAACAGAGTTCTGGCCTGGCTCCGGCTCCAGCTCCGGCTCCTCCTTGGATGGCGGATTAACTTGTGATTATGTTGCCCCAGTGCCAACAGGCAACACCAACTCCAACGCCAGTTGGCATCCAGCATCCAGCATCCAGCATCCAACTGCCAGCTCCTGCTTACAGAAAAACTTTCCATCGGCTAAGCCGCTTTCCCCTTTTTTGTTGAAGTCTAGACCATCGCGTAATTATCTGGAGTACGGGAGTGTGTCGGTGTCTGTTCGTAAATCATCAACTTCGTACCGAAAGCAATGCCAAAGTCGAGAAGAGATATGCAGATATCCTTGGCTTCCACCCTTCCCACCCCCCGAAGCCGGCCCAAAAGAGTGGGAAAACAACATGCCATAAAATAGAAAGCAGCCAAAGGCTGTACATAAAATTTATTCATGAATCGAATTTGTATTCCTTGCAGATATTTTATAAGTTTTCCCTTCTCCATTTCTATTCTCTGCCTCTCCTCACTCTCTATGTGTCCTTCCATACTGTATAATTTTTAGTGTGACCATAAAATGCAAAGAACCCATGCATATAGTATATTGGATGCGGACTGTCGTTGCATTTCCAATTAAACATCAGTTTGGCATCACAAAAACTGGTATTTTTTGGTATTTTATATGTTTTTAGTTTGGTATTTCCACTTAGGAGAGGAAAATGTTTGCTAGAATGAAAGAAAGTTCTTTCAAGAGTTGCCTGGTCACACTATAAAAGTGCCTCTGGATGCACTCTGGCCACACTCCTTGCCCCTCTCTCCTGATCATTGTGGCCACACTGTCACATCGTCTATTCCCGTCCAGCCATGTCAATGGACATGTCCGACAAAGAGGAAAATTAAAATGCAAGCCGCCTGAATGCTGAACGGCAACTGCAGGGGGGGCACGAGGAAAGTCGGGGCTTTGTCGGTGGCAGCCACTGGCAGAAAGCCACTGCAGGAGCAGAAGGAATCGAACTTGGCATTAAATATGAATTGTGATTGGCCCAGTCAATGGGCGACCGACCGTCCGAGGGAGAAGCGAATTGAAATGCACACAAGAATAACAAAAGTTTTCTTCTTTTTTTTTTTTTTTCTTTTACGGGGGGCGGACACATGGACCACGACATCGACATGGACACGGACACGGACAGTGGGGCAAGGGTTGTACGGGTGGAAGGGTGGAAGGACACACTTTGAAATGGGTTCAACATTAGCCCACGGAGCAGGAGAAGGACCACTGCCAGGGACCAGGGACCAGGGACCATGGATCTGCCATTTGTATTGGCAACGTTGCCTTTTGTGTGTGTTTTTGGCCTTTTGATGCCGCCTTTTATTACATTTGTGCTACCCGCTTTCTCCCCCTGTCTCTCTCCTCTCTTCTACATCTATTTTTGTGCTCCCTTTTCGGATTCTCTTCTTTTTTTCCTGGGTATTGGCAGCACTCGTCACGTAGGGGACAAACGACAACGACAACGGCGACAGTCAAACACATTGAAATGACCCGAACCTGACCCCCGATTGCCGACTCCCCACAACGCCCCACCCTTGGTCTATGCTGCTCCTGCCCCCGAGGCCACCCATTGAGTTTAAAGTATTGTCTGCCATGTGCAAAAGGTCATTTAATTTCTTTTTGATTTGTTTTTGGCTGTGCCACAGCCACTGCCACTGCCACTGCCACATTGTGGGGCAGACCCCGTCATTAAAGTGTAAATGTATTTTTAAGTAGACGCCTCCGAAAAGCGGAAAGCCAAAGCTCCCACCCAGGCCCCAAAGGACAAAATAGAATTACCCCGAAAAAAGGCGGCAAGGCGGCGAGGCTGAAAAGCCAAAAAGCCGCACAAGTTTCAATATAATTTTGCTGTGTGTGTTTCTTCTTCGAAACTCTCTCTCCTCGGAGTTAATAGCATTCTAAGTACAGCACATGACACAGACAATGGGGTGGGGGGGGTGGCATTGGGGGGAGGGGTTGGATGCAAAGGGCATACAAATCTAAGATCTTTGAAATAGCCAAATCGAATCGCAAACCGAACTTGAAAGTTAATTTCAATTGAAATGAAAAGGAGAGAGTGGAGGGGGCTCACTTTGACCTTGAATTAATGGAAGATTTTCATCAATTTCCGGTCTCTAAGACCCTCTTTCTATCCCTCATCCTTTGGTCGAAGATTATTTATTATCATTTCGATGGAAATTTGTTCTGGTTCGAGTTTCACTAGGAAGGTGGGATCTCCTCTTGCTCTGCCTTTAATCGCGACACTAGTTCTATTTCCACTGTCGTACAATAACAAATGTCTCTCTATCTGTCTGCTCTTTTGGGAGCCATGACAAATCCCAGTTCAAATGCCAATTAGATTGCATTTCCCTGGGAAATCTGCGCCGTCAAGCACTGACCAACCGACCGACCGACCGACCGACCGCATAACGATGGAAATTTTTGCTCCCCAAATCTGTGTATGTGCTTCGCTTTTTTCCCGGTTTCATTTTGCTGTTTTGCCCGGTTTTTATTTTAGCTTTTCCCCCGTCTGTGCCATGAAAAATGTATAAAGTTCTCAACTGCTTTAAGGACGACATCCAGGCCTAAGGACACACGCACCACAGCATATGGGCGTGGCAGCAAGATGCGATGGATTTGGCGGTTGCTGCGTGAGACCCAAACTGTTTCGAATACTCGTACGTTTTCCGAGCTGCTTTGCATTTTTCGTGGCTTGGGGGCCTGGCACTGGCCCTGCCACTGCCTCTGCCTCGGCTCCGAAAAAGTGTTTCTGAATGGGGGGGCGGCCTCACTGCCGCCCCTCCACTCCCGCCGCACACACACATGAGTTTTGTCATTCAATTTTGACACACGGTGCGTGGGCCGCGCATCACTCGAGGGCTACCCTCAAGTTAGATTTTGGATTTCAGATTTTCCATTTTCTTCCCCAGATAACCCATTCTCACGCCCACTCCCACTCCCAGTCCCACTCCCGCTCCCAGTCCCCCTTTGACGGACGGACGGATCTCGCTCTGCCTCTCATCAATATGCAAAAAGGCAGCTTGGACGCAGAGCAAAAGCAGAGCAAAAAGGGGCCTCGGCGACGGGGACGGTCAAGGGAGGGTGTGGGTGTGGGGGTGGGAGTGGGGCCTCTTCCGTTCATCCGCCCACTTCCGGTAGCCAGTCGTGCGTCAAAAGCAATGCAAACTTTTTGCGGCCGAAAAAAGAAATCAAAATCAAAAAAAAAGACAAAAAAATCAAAGTGAAAGAGTGAAATGGGAAAAGAATGAAAAGAAAATTATTATGGAAATGTCAACGTGAAAGTTTTGCACAAATGCACGAGAGGCCCCCACCAAAACCCGCTCCAAATCCTGGAATCCCTGAGTCGCATATGCTACACAGGACACACACACACAGATACACAGATACACACGTAAAAAAACACAATTGAATTTCATGTTTGACATGGCAACTCCCCCACCGCCCACAGCCCACTATCCGGCTAGACGAAGGAAAAAGAGTTTTCCCTTTGTTTTGCGGCATCGCGATTTATGCGGGAAATTTTAATGCGATTTCCATTGGCTTCGCAGGAGCATCGGGTTTCTGGTTTCGGGATTCGAGATTCGGATTCCGAGGAATCCCCTGACTCCCTAGAGGGGTTGGGTGGTGGGGGCGTGGGTGTGGGTGTGGCTGAGAGCGATATTTGCATAAGAATTAATTAGAAAACCGCACGCGCGACTGGAAACGCCCACGCGGCAGGGCGGGCGATTTAAAACGCGCGCACGCGAAATCATTCAAATGCGAATCCTTTAACACAACAGACGACTCTCCAGCAGCTTTCCTTTGTATTTTTTGTAGGTTTTTGTTTTTTTTTTGGTGAGAGTGTCCTTCAGTGGGGCAAAGGATGGAGAGAGAGAGAAAAGCGACAGAGACAGACGGCTGTTGACTCTGGCGACACCTTTTCTCCTTTGTGCATAATTCAATTTGCGGCACTTGACAGCATCAAAAGGTTGACATAATTCGCTTTTTACCCCCATCCTCGGCCATGCCTCTGCCACCCCTTTTTTTGGGTGCGCTGGGGTGGGGCTGGGTCGTCAGGCGTCAGTGATTGTGCGCGCGACTTTAAGCGCGTCGCTGCGGCAAGCAGCGCCTTTTTAACAGCTCGCTTTCAATTTGTGACACCTTAATGGGCAACTGAACACGGACAAAGGACAAAGGACAACGGACAACCGAGAGCCCGGACTCCCAGAGTCCCCGAAGTCCCAGAGAGACCCGTAGTCCGCACCCGGAATCGGTTTCGGTCGATTCTTAATTACAAGTACAGTTAATATAATACTTCTCCTTCTCCTCTCCCCTTTCCCGGTCTCTTTAATGTGATTCAACGATGAGAAAACTGAAAATTGCTCTCAATTAACTTGTTAGTGGGTTGTTGTCCCCAGAAAAAGAGGGACAGAAGGAAAGGAAAAGGTTGAATCCATTAGGTGACTTCTTCATCTCGAGGGAGCCCCTGGCCAAAAACTGTCAGGCGGCAAAACTTTTCCGCCCACGCTAGAAAAGGGACAAGAAAATGGATGATGGAAAAAGAAAGCCAAACACAGAAACCATTAGACAATGACCACACAATAGACACAGCACAACCGAACCTGCCACGAAGTGGTAGATGCCCTTCAGATACCCTGTAGTCGAGACAACTGTCAAAATTATTGCCCAGGCATTTTATTCGATTGAATGGAAACTTTGGAACTATCAACTAAGCGCCATCGACCATAGAGCAGATGACGGCAGCAGCCGTTGGATCAGTGATGGCCATGCAGCTCACTTTGAAGGACTTGCCGCAGGCGCGGCCCAGCTCCTTCATGCTGCCGGCGAAGACCAGTGCCTCCACCTTGCCCTTCTTGGCCTTCTTCTCGACGTCGGTCTTGAGGCCGACGCTCGTGTCGCCGGCGATGATCACCAGAATGGCCGCACCGTTGCGCACGGCCTTCAGGGTCTCCTTGATGCCCACAAAGTACTTCCCGGACTTGATCACACCCGACAGACATTCGCAGAAAACATCCATTTTGATTGTTGACTCTAGTTGACTGCGAAAGGGAAACAGCCTTGATTAAATCACGATTGTTGTATTTTTACACTTTTACGAACCTCTTAATTAAATTTTTCTTCCTTTTTTTCTCGCTTCGATCTGAACGCTGCTCTGACTTTGCTTCGAATGGAAGTTCTGGCAAAGGTTTAGTCAAGGAATAATGTAAAATCAACGCCTGCTGGGACTGAAAATTTATTCCCGTCTTCATTGTGAAAAAATGTTGGGTAACAGTTTGCTATGTTTGAGTAGTGTTGGTGAGCATATGCGAGCTATTTTCCAACACTCCCCGCGACTGAATCGAAACTAAATGAAGTTGAAAATTGTTACCTTTTGCATGGCAAAAATCTGTTAAAAATCATAATACCCTTTGCAAGCGAGAGGGAAGTACAATCTGAAGAGACAAGGAGAGAGTGAGAGGGAGTGAGAGAGCGAGCGAGCGACGTGTGGGAAAAACAAATAATTAAGCTCCAACTTTTTCAAGCCACAAAGTCAGACAGAGAGACAGAAAGTCAGACAATACAAATATTAACAAAGGGAAAATGCACAAAATTTATTTTATTTGTCATTAAAAGAAGGCCACGCCCCCACCGCAGCAGCCAGCAGGAGCAGCAGCAACCCTTTTCTGCAGGACTAAAATTAATTAAATAAATTAGAAGTTTGCCCGAAAATAAATTGAAATGGAACGCTTTGACAGTGCAGGCAGCAGCAGTCAGCAGTCAGCAGTCAGAGGAGTCAAGCAACCAGCAGCCGCGTTTCAAGCGGTGTAATTAACTTGAAAGACGACCAGAACCCCCTTCCCCCTCTCCTGAACTCGCTGAACTGAAGGCAGTGCCAATGCCAGTGCCAGTGCCAGCGCCAGTCGCAATCGCATTCTCAAAGCGGAAGCGGATGGAGTGGTTGGACGGAGGAGGAGCAGCAGAGGGGTGACAGGTCATGGCTTGGCATCGGTCACAAGTGATTGCCCTTTGTCAGAAGGCACTTGAGTGGCGGCGGCGTCAGGCGGCAGGCGGCAGCGTTGCAGTAAGGGAACACCACAAAAGCGGAAGAAGCGAATGACAAGCAGCACGACATCCATTAAAGCAAAAGGCAATCTATTTGTATTCGGCCGAGCCACAGGCGACAAAAGTGTCGCCAAGGATCACAGAAGGAATCTGCAAGAAACCTCTAAATAAATCCAAAATGTGTCGTGGAACACAAGACAGTCTCTTGTGATTTGTGGCTTTATTCGATTTAAATAAAAGAATTCTCGTATAATATCTATAATTGTTCTGTTAGTTGCCAAGGTTTACTTCTTTGACAATTTGGCCGCCTGTCCCTTCGCTTAGACGACTAACCAGTGACTCCCCAATCTCCGCCAGTCGTTTGTGTCATTTGGCCATCGCTGCTCCTGCAGCTCCTGCTGCTCCTGCAGCTCCTGCTGCTCCTGCTGCTCGTGCACTTTGTGTCAATGTTATGCACATCAGCAGCCGGTGCTGCCGGTGCAGCCGTGGCAAAGAGATGGCCCACCATCAATGCCAGTCAGTCGTCAGTCAGTCAGTGTCTTTGCCATCCGACATTCCCTCAGAGTCAGAGTCAGATTCAGAGTCAGAGTCAGAGTCAGCCAGTCAGTCAGTCCAGGGAGCTCTGCTCTGGCGTACGCTACTTAGTCCACAAAATTGCCGACTCTGGCATTTTCCGTGTGCGTGGCTTTGACTCCATCCTCCTGCTCTGCTCTCGGGGCTCCCACTGGCTGGCAAACCTTCGTTGCAAGCAGTTGTTTGCATTGCAGCGGCAGATGCTGTCAATAATAAATTTCCGCTTGAGCCGCAGCAGATTGGGTGCTGCAAAGCGGGAGACGAAGCGAACCCAGCTGGCTCCACTGGCGGCACGTAGCCAAGCCACGTCAGATGAGATGCGATGCGATTGGGGCAGAGGCAGAGGCAGAGGCAGAGAGTGCGGGCCTGCGGGCAGAGTGGGTGGCAGGAAGGAAGCACATAAGCGCATTGCGCCCGGGACAAGACGGCGGAGTGGGCAGGAGAGAGGGGAATCTGAGAGGAAGTACAAGTAGATTGCAGCACGGCACTAAAAAGATGACATAAAGATAGAGACGGGCGGGTGTTGAAATTGAATAGGGGTAACGAAGCAGAAGGAGAGAGAGAGAGAGAGAGAGAGAGAGCCCGAAAGGGGGGGTGCAGCTGGGTGCAGGCATGCAAACGATGCGACGCTGTCGCCAGATAAAGTATACGACCGATTGCCCGTTTCTGCTAGACGAAGCTCGGGAAAAGGAAGAGTCGAAGGCGTTCAACGACACTAGGATAGGATGCAAATGCAAATGGAAAATGGCTTGCCAAGAGCCAGCAGAAAGAGCATACCAAAGAGGCAGAGACAAAGACAGAGAGGCAGAGCGAGAGAGAGAGAGAGAGAGAGAGAGAGAGAGAGAGAACTCAGCGGGCGACACGTTGATAAATTTATTGAAATTCTATTGAAACGAAACGATTTGACTGCGGCTCTTGAGGACCAGGACGCACAAATCGCTGATAAAGTGGAAAATGAGCGAAAAACAAAAAGGAAAACTGTCGTAAATTGCAAATAAATTGCAGCATATCCAAAGGAAAAGCCATCACATGCTCTCCATCTCCAGCTCCATCTCCAGCTCCAGCTCCACTGGCAATTAAACTTTGGGCATTCCATTGCATAAATTTGATCTGGTACTCGTTTCGTTTCATTTATGGGTAAATGTGTATGTACATTGTATGTAGTATATATCAAATCTGGGGGAAACTTTGCGCTTAATTTTTAATTTTCTTTCATTTGGCCTTTGACCTGGGCCTGGCCAAGCCATCGCTGGACAAGCGATGCTCAATTTAACCTGGGGGCCCCCGCGGCACACGCTTCACTGGGTTCCTCAAAGGAGGCAAAAAACTCTCGAGCCCCGCCCCGCCACCGCCCCCTGCTTCTTGGGGCATACTTAAGGGGAAGCCCAAAGGAGCGAACGGCGAAGAGGAGAAGAAACAGAACAGATAAAAACAGAAAAAAAACAAAGATAACAGAGTAACAGGAGACTGAGAAAAGGCCAAATTTAATTTGTGTTCAGTGGCTGTGGCATCTTTTGCTCCTGCTGCTGTCCCTGCTGCTGCCGCTGCCCCTCCAGCTGCCTGCGTCCTGCACCGTGCATCCCCTGCTGCTGGCTGCTGGCTGCTGGTTTCTCTGTGTTGTGCCATGAAGAAATTGCTACCCAATTACGTAATAAAATCTGACTGAAGTTTCTACTCTTATTATTTAATTTTTGCTTTATCTCCCGCTGCCTCCCGCTGCCTACCCCTGCCCTCGGGCCCTACTGCCTCCTGCCTCCTGCCTCCTGCCTCATGCCTCCTACCCATGGCCTCTGCCTGTCTGAAACGGCACACAAATTGTTCAAGGGGATTTGCCGGCGAATAAAAGTTGGGCAAATGGCGGAAGGACGACAACAACGACGATGCCGCTTGCCGCTTGCCGCTTGGTACTTGCCGCTTGGTGCTTGCCGCTTGGCGCTTATTAAGAAATAATGCTGTAAAAACAAAACGCAATGGCGTCAAATCAACTTTGCTTGCTTGCCATCAGCGACATTAAATGGAATCAAATGAAAAGGAAATACTCCAAAATAGAACACACACAAGACAACAGGAAGGCGGACGCAAAGGCCAGCCCAGACACAGCGCTGGAGATCATTCATCAGGCGGTGCTGTCGGCGGGGAACCAGAGAATAATTACAGAGAGGGCAGAGCAAACAGTTTCGCTTCAGGAAAAGTCCGAGACTAATTGAATGCTGTCAAAACAGCTGCCACTCGCCACTTCTCCGTGCTACGATACTATCGTATCGGTACTATCACAGGCACACGTCGGATCAGCTGTTAGCTGTCAAAATTTCTGCTAAGTCATTATATTTGATACATTATTTGGTTGAACGAAAAGAAAACAGTGAAACATTTAGAAGCCATCGACCATGGAGCAGATCATCCCGGCTGCCATTTGATCAGTGATGGCCATGCAGCTCACTTTGAAGGACTTGCCGCAGGCGCGGCCCAGCTCCTTCATGCTGCCGGCGAAGACCAGTGCCTCCACCTTGCCCTTCTTGGCCTTCTTCTCGACGTCGGTCTTGAGGCCGACGCTCGTGTCGCCGGCGATGATCACCAGCATAGCTTGACCGCTGCTCACGGCCTTCAGGGTCTCCTTGACGCCCACGAAGTACTTCCCGGACTTGATCACTGCCGTTAGATTTTCACGGAAAATATCCATCTTGATTGTAGACCCTAGTTGTCTGCAACAAGGGAAACAGCGTTAGCGAGTCTACAATAGCAATGCAGCATCGCCTTACCTTGACGAATCTCTTTAAATTATTTTCGTTTTGAGGGAAGTAAAATTGTAAAAATAAAATACAAATTTTCTTCCGTTTTTTCCCGCTTCGACCTGAACACTGCTGTGACTTTTACTCGAATGGAAGTTCCGGCTAGATTTAGTCAAGGAACCAGGAACCTAATCCAGTCAACGCCTGCTTCGTCTGAAATTTGTGACAAAAGTGCTGTGTAACCTTCAGTGCCTTTAGTGTTGGCTAACAGATATTTAGTGTGACCATTCCCCAGGCCCCGCGTACAGTGGCAGCCACTTATTGGCAGTGTTCGATGAAATTTAAATAAATCATGGATGGGTCCTATCCCATCTGTTCGAGAAGGAAATCCGGCATCTGACTGTTGAGCAAACAATAAGAAGAGATAAGTAAATGAATTCTGGCCGAGAAACAGTCGACATGGGGGGAAGCCATGGCAAAGCCTGGAAAGACGCGAGGGCCCCGCCCATGGGCATTATGTCGAGCGTAATAAGTGCCCTGTGGTGCAGCTTATGAAGATGCTGAGGGATCTGCGAGTCCTTGCCTGCCCCACAGACGTACGAAAATACGTATTCATATTCATATTTATGTTTTTTTTTGGGTGTTGTGTAATTTAAGGATATTTTATCTTATATGCTCCAAAGCCAGTCGGAAGCACAGGTGTGTGTGTGTGTGTGAATTTTTTGTTGGCAATTTATGAATCGACGAATTAAATTATGCGTGCAGTACATACATTAGAAAAGCCACAACGAAAACAGGAACAGGAACAGGTGAAGGAGCCAGAAAGAGCAGGGAAAGCGATAAAGGGATTCATGGAAACAAAATGGGGCGTGAAACGAGCGTCGAGCCATAGATAAAAAGGGACAGGAATTGGGGGATTAAAGAGGGCCAGAGCTGAGCAGAAAATAACCGAATGATTGGGGATACAATGGCTGATCGAATTCTTCAGACTTGTTCGAGCTTTATCTGAGGTCAGACGTACCTACTATACTCTGTTTCTCCACTTAGCTGATGAACGTATCTGAAATGGGTCATTAGGCCTCGCACCTAAGCCCATAATTTGCGGCGTTCTCCGACTCCTTTCAGGACATTTTCCCATGGCCATTTTATTTCTCATTACACAAAAAGGAAGAGCGAACACAAATAAAATAAAACAATGCAAATACAAATACAAATAAAGAGAGGAAGACTTCGATTGCCTGGACGACGCTTTGGATACACTTTAAAAAGGACAAAGATTGGGGATCTTTGGCAGCAAAGAAGATGCCTGATTTTGGAAATAACTTCATTAAAAACCATTCTGCTTAAGCTGCTATGTCTCAATAGATTTGAAAGTGCTCTCCTTTGTGTGTGGCAAAGTTGTTATTGAATTGTAAATACCCTCCAAGGGAGGGCTAGGCATCTATAAGTATTCAAAATGATATTCGCTTGCTTCCTTGCTTCCTGCAATGGCCAATCAATGTGCAATCTTCTCTCCCAAGTCCTCCCTCCCTCCCTCCCCTCTCTCTCTCTCTGCTGTGTCTGTGTGTGTGCGCCAAAGGGCAATAATCATAAAAAACCGTCAAACGTTTTGTTTTTTGTTCTTGAGAATTGAGGCAATAATGCCAAAACGAAGAGAGGAGCGAGAGCGTTGGATAGAACGAACGAAGGCAGACTCTGTCTTTGGCTTGCGATTATTTTGCCATTACTTTCCATTATTTTACTTTATTTCAATGACTGTTTACATTAGACACACACACACACACACACACACACACACATGCACACAGAGAACGCCGCAAAGCAGTTAAGTGTTGCATACTTTTGAGCGCGTTAGCTCCTTATTTCGGTCTTTTCGTTCTGTTCATTTGTTTGCTTTCCTTCCGTGTGTGTGTGAGAGTGTTTATCCATGTATGGGTGCTTCTGTGTGAGCCACTTCACTTTGGTTATTGAACAGCAGAAGCAGCAGCAGCCGTAGTACCCTCCAAAGGACTCTCCTCCACAGAAAGAACAACTTTTGATACTTTGATTTCGAAATATATTTTTGCTTGCGATTTCCTCTCCCCATTTCCTCCTGTAGATGTATCTTGAGAAAAAGTACAATAACAAATCCTGTATCTGTATCTGTATCTTTCAATTGCAGGCGGAAATTTGGAGCGTTTTCATAGCGATTCTGCGTAAGAGCGTCCGCAATCTGCAGGCCTGCACAGACGTTGGTCTCATCGAGCATGTCCTCGTCCGGCTGCAGCGCTCCGAAACGGTTGTGGCAGGTAAGTGATGCACACAAAAAAAACACCCCCCTCCCTCCCTCATACATACATATCCATTCCCATCCATCCCGAAGAAGTTTTGCTGTGGGAGGTCTTTTCAAGAGCTTGGCTGATGGCTTAACAATGGACGAGAGAGCTTTCCTTATTTTCCACTCATATTTCAGGTGCACTTTTAAGGAGGAATATGGCTACAGATGGAAGGGCTTTTCTTCGGCATTATGTTGCATATTATCCAGCGACATATTGAGGGTCCAGGGCCTGGAGTCTGCTTTGACCTGATCTTCTGTTGGCTGCTTGGAACTGGATGGTGGAATTGCTTCTCGATTAATTTCACGCTTGTCAGCAGCACTGACACGCCCAGTCCCAGGCCCAGGCCCAGGCCCAGGCATAGCCCTCAACCACCGCACACATAGAACACAGAGAACACAGTGGTGCTCAGTGGGTGTACGGGTGGCTGTGGGTGTGGGTGTGGGTGGGCACCCCGGGAGAGATACGAGATACGATAACAGTATGGGGAAAACAAGCAGCTCGGCAAATTTGCTGTTCATTAGCGAGCCACGGATACCTCATACTCCTCATACTCCTCAGCCCCCAACCCCCAAGAATCTTGGCTTGCTCCTGCTCCTGCTCCCCCTCCTCCGCCTGCTCTCTGCCTTGAGCATGTGCGTGCCTTTGGCTTTGATTTTGATTTTATTAAGTCAATGACACATCTGCGGTCTCCCAGCCAGAGGCGGGCCACCCATGCCGCCACCCAACCAACCCTCTCTCTCGCTCTGTGGCAGCTGCTTGCCCCAAGTCCCTGCTTCATGCCGCATTTAACGAACTGTAACTGCTGTCAATTTGCAGTCGCTGACTTTTGAGCTTCATGTGCGGAGAAGACAGACAGACAGACAGAGTTAGCGCTGGGTGGGATGGGGGACAAGGGGGCCTGGGGGGATGCCACAAACAAAGACATAATTTCATACATATGAGATGTCTGTCTATCCTCATTTCTGTCTCTGTCTCTCTGTCTTTCTGCTTCTCTCTGCCACGCCCTCACCTGACAAATGCCAAAACGTGACACTTGCCAAGAAATTAGATAAGTTGAAAGTTCGTTCTTTCGTTCGTCTCGGTCTCGGCTGAAAGTTGAACTTAGAGCTAAACTTTTACAAGTGTGGTTTTCCATCCACGATATGTGTGTGCTCACGTGCGTGTGCGTGTGTGTGTGTGTGTGCGTGGGGTGGGTGGGGGTCCGAGAGGGAGAAGAAAAGGGAGAGCAACCATCCCCCAAAGAAAAAGAAGAGTGTCTTGAGGCTCCTAAGCATTAAAAATCCCTGAAACCAATCATAAATATGGCAGCTAATAAGTTCAATCGGTTACCGACTTGTCCCCCCAGCGGAATAGGTTCCGAATCAACTTTGAAACCAGCTAATCAAAGAGTCTGTTAGTACATAAAATTCGTATTTACATATGGACATTACCAAAGGTGTCCTAAAGGTGTCCACCGAGCCTACAAAGGTTAAAACTCAATTAAAACAAATTCCCGCATATGCCGATATTATTTCATGAATTTGGATGTGAAAACCCATTAAGTATTAATGCTTTTGTTGCATATTTGCTATAATCTTGATTCTTGATACAAGTTCTGCCACAAAGTCTCCCATACATATTCAGCAATCTAAAAGAAATCCCAGGAAAACTTCCGAATCTCGGCCAGCCAAGAAGTTTTTGTCCAGTCCAAAAGCGCTTTTTCGAGAGAGAGACTCTAGAAGCGGCCGCCGAACAACGAGAGGAGAGAACCCAGCCTCAACGATCGACGCCATTTAATTCGGTGCCAAAGTCTCACTTATTTGTACTTAATTTTTATACTTAGAGCACAGCGACCATTGTAATCGTAACGAATCTTACTAATTCTAATAAGACCTGGCGTCCAGACTCAAGATTAAAGGTTAGATATACCCGTGTAAATGCTCATATGCCCATCTGATGTCCATAGAACTTATGAAACTTATGAAACCCCTTGCAAAGGGTGTAGGAGAAATACCGATGAGAAAAATTGTTGCACTAAGCGCTCTGTTTTCTCGGAGTTGACAATGTTCTCACCCGTTTATGGCTTGGTTGCTGCTCCCCAATGATGACCATGATGACCATGATGATGGGGACGACGATGATGATGTTGATGAGGATGGCGGAAGGGCGGGGGGAATGGGAGCAGTAAAAACTTTGGCATGCCAGAAGAAAATGTAATTAAATGCTGATGAAGCGGTAGAGGGAATGAAGCGGTGCTGGTGCTGGTGCTGGTGCTGCTGCTGCCAGACACGGCTGGAACTTCAACTGGGGAGCAACTGGGCGACATTGTCGTCTTGGGAATGTCGCCTCGGGGCACAAGGCGGCGTGGAGCCGAGGAGGAGCTTCAAGGAGAGTGTGGGCGGAGTTGTTCGGGTCCAGTCATAAGCCCAAAGGTATTACCTCCCTACAGCCCTACGGCTGTCTGTGGCTTCATGTTACTCAATTTCTTAATTTACGCAACCCGAAACGTGTTGATGGTGTGTGAGTGGGTGTCTGGCGAGGCATGGCCACGGGCAGGGGCAGAGGCAGAGGCAGAGGCCATGGAGGCCAGGGCAACAGTCCAAGCATTAAAACGGCCCGAGCGTCCCATTTCAATTAGTGTGCATTACAAATGAAGTTTGGGAATAGCGCAGCAGCGGCAGTGGCAGCGCCAGTGGCAGTGGCAGTGGCAGCGGCAGCGGCAGATGGAGCCAGGCCCCAAGGGCGTGTTGCAAAGTTGGGGAAGTGCTCGGGGATACGGATGAGGCGTGCGGTGTGGCAGTGGAAGTAGAAGTGAAGTTCTGTAGGTGAACCACCGGCGAAGTGTGGGCACTGAGGGGCGCTGAGGCAATCAGTTTGAATTCTGGAATTAATAACTATTTGGCCAAGCTTTTGGCCAAAGTTGATTGAAAATGCTGCAGGGAGGGGGCGCTGGAAACGGGCCAAAACTTTGGCAGCATCATCATCATCCGCTCGGTGGCTCATTGAAGACAGAGATGGATGATGGTGCTATTTCTTCTGTTCACAAATTATGTGCCAGCAGACCGGAATGTTGAACGTTTGAAGAATTGGAGCCATAAATGAGCTTTCAGTTTTCTATATTCCCTTCTCTGACCGTCTTCTGCCAACTCTATTTTCCATAAGAGAGTCAGTGCTCAGGCCGTTTCTCCATTTGAAATGCCTTGACAATGCCGGGGACCAATGGCACCATTGCCTTGTCAGCCTCTAAGAGCCTGTCCCTGCCGCATGCCTGAGAGTATTTGCAACTGACACGGCACCCGTGACTAAAACCGGGAGGGGAACTCTCTTGCACTCGCTGCACTGAAGGAAATGGGCCGATTGCGATGTCTAGGTGGAAATGCTGAAACATTCAGACATATTTCTCAGTGCACGCTTGATCTTGGAAGCGCTTTGTTTTTTCTCAGTGCGCATCTGCTCCCTCCACCAGCGAGGAGATTGCGTAAGCGACATATCCCCCCCATAGCCATATCCATTAGGCGTTTCCCGTCATCAAGAATGAGCCCCCATAATGGCCGCCCTCCACCCGCCAGCGGCGCACTCATATCTCATGTCACCGACTAACATTAATGCTCTACCCCTCTGCTCGCTCTCTTCCCTGCAGATCTGCTCATCGAGATGCTGGGCGTTTTGGCCAGCTACAGCATAACAGTCAAGGAGCTGAAGCTGCTCTTCGGAACGATGAAGGCAACGAATGGCAAGTGGCCGCGGCACTCGGCCAAATTGTTGAACGTCCTGCGCCAAATGCCGCACCGCAATGGGCCCGATGTGTTCTTCAGCTTTCCGGGCCGCAAGGGATCGGTGAGTAAAATCCTGCATATATCCGTTCAACGACTAGCGGAGTGAACGACTAGCGAATGCACTGAGTAAAGAACCATACCTCATTTGCTAATAACTCATTAAAACATTTTATTTAAATTATTTTTCGCGGTTGTCGGCGGCCAATAAGTGGATAATCTGCTCCGAGACCTTAGTGTCGGTAATGACCAATGTGCCCACATTGAAGTACTTGCCAATGGCGTTGCCCAGTTCGAAATTGTTGCCGCAGAAGCGCATCACCCGGGTCTTCGTCTCGGCGGCGTACTTCTCCATCTCTGACTTCATGTCGCTTGGTATGTTGCTGGCCAGGACCACCAGCTTGGCCTTGCCCCCGCGCAAGGCCTTCAGCGACTGCTTGTAGCCCACGACGTACTTGCCGTCCTTCAGTGCCACCTCAAGACAGGCGGACAAGTAGTTCATTCTCGAAACTGCAACCGGAAAACCGAAAAATCGTACATAGTTTACTTCCTCCATACTTATGCGAACCTTTTTTTTTTTTTTTTGCCTTTCGATTTTAGTTTTTAGTTTTCGTGCAAAAGCAAAATAATTGTAGATAGAGCACAAAATTGTCTCACTTTTGTCGACCAGGATTATTCTGAGAGTTGCAAACGAATGTTCAGTATTGAACAAGATCTTGACAAGAGAAGCCACAGCGGCACTGTTCTGAATACTGAACAGAAAGTGTTGGGCAACGGACTCGAACGAGTCTTGGAAAACGTATTGCAGGTTGTTTTGCGTCAAAGTGGAATGAATGGCAGCTCGGTCAAAGAGTAAAGTGAAATCGTTATTGAATGCAGCTGGAGCCGCCCTCTCAGAGGACACGAGGCTCGGGGCTCGGGGCTCGGGACTCGGGGCTCGAGGCTCGATACACATATTCGAATGATGTCCCCAGGGCACACAGGACGAGGGCTTTTATTTTATTGCTCGGCACTTAAAACGAATTCGAAATGTGTGTACGTATTTTTTTCTTTCCGTTCCGTTCCGTTCTTTTCTGTTCTGTTCTGTTCTGTTCTGTTGTGTTCGCTCCTCTAACGGACAGCTAATGGGTGAGTGTCCAGAGACACTCCATCCGGGACCGGGCACTCTATCGATGTGTCCATCTCGCCATAAACACATAAAAAATGCCATAAAGTGAATTGGAAGTCAAATGCGAACGGACATCGGAGGAGCGGAGCAATAGCAATCGCAATTGTCGCACAAAATGTCCAATAAACAGGGGAGAGCCATGCCATTCGTGCTGTGCTGTGCTGTGCTGTGCTGCGCTCTGCTATGCTGGCCCATCATCATCATCACCACCCATACACCACACACCACACACCGCGCCCACACATGCTGATGGTTCCTGGTCCCCTGGACTCCTCCTCGTCCACTTGATTGCGTTTTGGAAGAGGACTTTTCACGCATTTGGGGGGTATTTTCTTCTTTTTAATTTTTCGCCTATCCTGAAAGCCGCAACAGCCCCACCCCCAGCACTGGCGCCCACTTAACCGCCGATCAGCGATCCACTCCACAGGCCGGGACCCCGGACTAATGCCGTCGATGACGGTGCTGATTGTAATGCAATGGCAAGCGGCTAGCGATATCGAGGACAGAGACTCGATTCGAATAATGAGATTTTGTCATAGACCAAACGTACACCATCCCACCATCGGGGTGGCATATCCGGGGCTCTGTTTCCGTTGTCTGACAGAGACGTGGAAGAGGGGGGCAGAAGGAAGGAGGAAAGTTCGGTGGTGCAACCGCAGCACAGCTCTAACAATGCCAGGGCTTTGTCACGTCTGCCCAGCCCTAACCGATTTAGGACAGGCTATGGCTGCGATAGAGAAAGGATATCGAATGAGAGAGCTCCTCTCTGTGAGGGTTGGGCGACCACAAGAGTGCAAGAGTGCAAGATTGCAAGGGTCCAGAGGAAATCAAATTTCGATCGGCTTGACCTTTGCAATCACATTCTCTATTCTCTGAGTGTTTCACATAGATTGATGGATCAGAGAAGAAAGGCTTGACATTAAATGGCAATTAATGAAAACTAGTGCTATTAATCCAATCTTCTCGTATGTATATTAAGAGGCAATGGTCAAGTGCTCGGCAGAGACACGAGGGATTGTATTTCATTGGCAATTATTTGAGAGATGAACCCCGTCCGTAAATACTTGCTGGCAGGCTGGCCAATTTATGAGCTCCGCCAGGAGAGGAAATGCCACAGTCTGCCGCAGTCTCTGCCCTGTCCGTCCGATAAACCACAGATTCCATTTCCTTATAATTTTCATTCTCTGTTCATTTCTGTTGCGACTGTTGTAGCATTGTGTCTGTGGCAGCTTGAGGTCTCGGGGCCCACACCGGGCTCAAAGGCCAGTGAGGTGAGTGGTGGGAGTGCGTTTGTGTATCTGACTGCGGAATGCCACAGGCAACCCAAGTCAAAGACCATTCAAAAATATACATTTCAACGGTACCCGAAGTGCACAGCAAAGGTTTGATTTATGTCTTCGGAGTTGAACGGAAATTGCCATTGGAATTGGCTACAGAACTCTCAGCTCCATTTTGAAACTCAAGTCCTGCTGAGAGCTCTCTCCCTCTCCCTGTCCCTCTCTCCGAACAAAGAAAATCATGTGGTTTATTTGACTCAATGCTGGCCAAGAAACGAAGTTCATAATTGGTATTTAACAGACTGTGGAGCAGCAGCAGCAGCATACAATCGATACTCGTACAACAATCGAAGCTAATCTGAAATCTAAAATCTGAAATCTGATGTGAATTTCCGTATTTATTTGCAGGCCATGGTCCTGCCGCCGCTGGCCAAATGGCCGTATGAGAATGGATTTACCTTTACCACATGGTTTCGCCTGGATCCCATTAATTCGGTGAACATTGAGCGCGAGAAACCCTACCTCTACTGGTGAGTCCTGTTCACCTGTTTACCTGTTCCCCCGTTTCTACTTAACTATGGCTTTCTTTTTGGCAGCTTCAAGACCTCTAAGGGCGTGGGCTATACGGCGCACTTTGTGGGCAATTGTCTGGTCCTCACATCCATGAAGGTGAAGGGCAAGGGCTTTCAGCATTGCGTCAAATACGAGTTCCAACCGCGAAAGGTACGAGTCATAGAACGAGCCCCTCTACAGAAGAGCTCCATTTACAATATATCTATTTTTGTTTTTGATCTTCAGTGGTATATGATTGCCATTGTGTATATATACAATCGTTGGACGAAAAGCGAAATCAAGTGCCTCGTTAATGGACAGCTGGCCTCTTCGACCGAAATGGCCTGGTTTGTCTCCACAAACGATGTGAGTATATCCCTATAACCGTCCACATATCGTTCTTAATCCTTTGAACCTTTCTCCCTTTCTCTCTTCTGTATGACAGCCCTTTGACAAGTGCTATATTGGCGCCACGCCGGAGCTGGACGAGGAGCGTGTCTTCTGTGGCCAAATGTCGGCCATTTATCTGTTCAGCGAGGCGCTGACCACCCAACAGATCTGCGCCATGCATCGCCTGGGGCCTGGCTATAAGGTATGTGACGACGATCCCGATCCTGGTCCTGATCCTGATCTGAAAGACCCACATAAAGCCTCTGCACCTCTGCACCCTCTGGAGCACCCATCACTTTGCTTTGCTTTCGCGCAGCAAGCAAGTCTCCTAGTCCTAGTCCTTGTCCACGTCCATGTCCATGTCCATGTCCATGTCCTTGTCCATATCTGTACAGAAGATAATGTAATTTGATTCAATTTTTTTTCTTTTTGCTCTTCTCTATCTTTCTCTTTTTCTCTCTCTCTCTCTCTTTCGATATCTCTGTCTCTATCTGCCGCACACTCGCTAACCTTTGCACCAATCACCAATCGAATATCGAATATCGACTGTCGACTGTCGACAAAAAAAAAACAACAAAAAAACAGTCGCAGTTCCGCTTCGATAACGAATGCTATCTGAATCTGCCGGACAATCACAAGCGGGTGAGTCACTTTCAACTGTTGCCAGCCTCGTCGCTGATGGTGGCTGGGGGACTGGGCGTCAGCGGTGGTGGGAGCGGCAGTGGAGCGGGCAGTGGCAGTGCCACCGATGCCGCTGCGGCAGCCGCCAGCGGCCAACAGCAGTTGCAGCTGCAGTTCCAGACCCTGGCCGCCGAGCAGGAGGCTCGGGCCATCGACTGGGCCGACGAGCGGCTCGATCTGAATGCGGCGTTTGTCAAGATCCGGGCAGTGCTTACCGCACGCAATGCCGTGACCCTGGCCGCGCTACCTGGGGCAGGAACAGCAGCGGGAGCCACGGCTGCATCAGCCACTGCTCCCGGAGGAGGAGCAGCAACACCCAACGAGAGCGGCAGCGGCGGTGGCAACATCATCGTGGCTGATCCACAGCAGCAGCACCAGCAAAGCCCAATCCCAAGCCAGGGATCCGCTGGCGGCACTGCGGACGATCCGCTCGGCCATTTGCCCACTGGAAATGCTTCTTTTGGTATTTATATTAACTTATGATTTGCCCTAGAGTCCATCAGTTTTGCTTAATTGATTTCTGATTTCCCAATTTTCATTTTGTCGGGGAAAAACTGTGTCGCACAGACCAACTGCGTCGCATGTCGAGCAGCGTGAGCAGCCTGAACACCGTATCCGGTGCCGACACCGAGGAGATCAACCAGCTGAAAGCTGTAAGCGAACTTTGCCTTTTTATTTTATTTTATTTTATTTTACTTTACATTCCTTAATTTCTTTTTAGTTCTTTAAGTTGTTTTGCTGTCCCAAAAAAGTTTCCTGATACACCTAGTAGTCGTCAGAGCAATTAAGAAGTTATCGGGGCACAGGTCGGGGCAATCAAATCGATATGAATCTGGGGCTACGAAAGTTTCCGTTTCTGTTTCTGTTTCAGTTTCAGTTTGAAGCATTTTCATTTTGTGTTAACGGCTTTTTAAAGTTTCCTCCAAGAGATGGTTGGGGCGGGGGCGGGCCGGGCAGGGGGCATGGGAAAGCGGAGTTTATGGCTCCAACAATGGCTCGAGATGGAAGTAAATGTAGCGTATACTTTCGCAGGTGCGCCACCACCGCCACCTCCACCTCCACCCCCATGGACAAACCCCTAGACAAAGCCCAAATGTAAGGCTCTCTCTCTTCACTCACGGTGCGTGTGTGTGTGTGTGTGTGTGTGTTTGTGTGGGTGTTGGCTCCTTGCGAGCCTTGCGAGTAGAGTAGATTGTTTGGGAAATCTTTTGGGCGCTCATGTTCCATATTCCGTGGCACAGAGAACAGAACAGAACAGAACAGAACAGAACAGAACAGAGAAACACACACATTTCTATGCCATGTTCCACATTCACAGCGAAACAGAGACCCGAAACCCGTGCCGTGCCGTGCCGAGCCGTGCCGGAGCCATTAGACCCACCCGTAACCCACCTGCCCGGGCAGAGCAGGGCATTATGCCATTTGCCTCCTTTCACCGGGGGAGTGGAGTGCGGGGAGTACTTTAGTTATTTTGAATGTTGAGTTAATGGAATGGGAAAACACATCCACACTCGAGAACACGGGGAGTACCCCTTAGCAGGATAGCCATACAGCCATATAGGGAAAGACTTGAGAAAGAGCTGGACAACAAGGAGGGCATTCAGTGTGGCTATAGCAAGGATGGACATCCATCAGGGGCCACCAGATATTTTTAGATACTCATTATGTTTCCCCTGAATTTACTTTCTTTTGCTTCGTTTCTCGCTTTTGTGTGTTTCCGTTTGCCTTCATTTTTTGCTTGGTTAATTTCTGTTTCCGTTTCCGTTAGCGTTTCGGAATATCGCAAAGAAGTATTTTTAGCAGCAAATTATGCAGCCAGCAATCCATCCAGCCAGCAATATAATAACTATAATTATACATAAATATACGTACCTATAATAATAATAATAATGCTACACACGAGCACCAGCTTACACCACCCGCGCACACACCACACCGCCACAAACCACACATCACACACCACGCCTACGCCCATGCCTATGGCGGCCTTTGGCCCATGGCCCAAGAAGAAGGCCATAATGCACCAAGCAAGAGAAAAGCAAGGAAAAGCAAACAAAAACTCCTCGAGCAAGTGGCGAAATTACATACGAGTAAATGCATCGATGCGTGTTGTAAATAAATGCATACATACATACATAAGATGTTGATGTATAAGGAGTCCCATACAGTACAGTGCCGTTCATTTGTGTATGTTGTTGGTTGTTCGTGTTGCGTTTTTTCAAGCCAAAGCTAAAGACAAAGCCCAAGTAAATCACACTGCCGTGACCAGACCACACCAGACCGGACCACACCATATCTTCAGGGGAATATCATGGTCCTGTCCTGGTCGTGGGCCGTGTCCTAGTCCTAGTCCTAGTCCTAGTGCTCGAAGTCCACTCAATGACTTTGCAATGTGGGCCGCTCTAATCCCAGCTCTACCATTTTCCCACCATTTCACAGGTGCTGTACGATGGCAAGCTGTCGAATGCCATTGTCTTCATGTACAATCCAGTGGCCACCGATGGCCAGCTCTGTTTGCAGTCATCCCCCAAGGGAAATGTATCATACTTTGTCCACACGCCGCATGCGCTGATGCTGCAGGTAAGTAAACACAGTGCCTCACAGTGCCACACCGCGCCAGAGCCAGGCCCAGACCGACACCGTCACCGACACCGAGAACAAGACTGACCGGGGGGAAAGTTCCGTCGTCCGAAAACATAAATTCCATGCAGAAATTTTACGACACGAGCGCATGCCTTGGCATATCCTATTAGCCTTGGGTCTTGCGTCTGCCTCCTTGGAGACTGCCTGCCCTCTAAGCTTCCTGTAGTCCAGAGGCCACAGTCCACAGTCCAGAGTCCAGAGTCCGGGGCCAAACGGGACACGGGAGTCCGTTAGGCGGACACAAAATTATTCAATAAATTTTGTAGTAATTTCCTGCGCAAACAAACACGAATCATAAGGGGCAGGGCAGAGGCAGAGGCAGGGGAAGGAGCCACAGTGGCCAATCGATGGGAGAACGTGTCCCCGACCCAATCCCTGGGTGACGACAGCTTACGCGATTACCAGGGGACCAGACTAACCATATTTACCGGGTGACAAGTGGGGGGCCAAAGGGCACAGGGCAAAGGCGGATGGATGATTAAATTGAAATTTGCTTTGCAGGATGTTAAGGCGGTGGTCACGCACTCGATACACTGCACCCTCAACTCCATTGGCGGCATCCAGGTGCTGTTCCCGCTGTTCTCGCAGCTGGACATGGCCCACGAGGGCATAGGAGACATCAAGCGGGATCCCTCCCTTTGGTAAGTAATCGAATCGAAGCCCCCCGCACTCGGAATGAAATCATGCAATCATTGCGCTCCCCCACTCCACTTGACTGATTACAGCTCGAAGCTGCTGGGTTTCATCTGTGAACTGGTGGAGACATCGCAGACGGTGCAGCAGCACATGATCCAGAACCGGGGCTTTCTGGTCATCTCGTTCATGCTTCAGCGCTCCTCCCGTGAGCATCTCACGCTGGAGGTGCTCGGCTCGTTCCTCAATCTGACCAAATATTTGGTCACGTGCCTGTCGGCCAACAGCGATCTGCTGCTGAAACAGGTAAGAGCCGCCGCACCGTCAAAACAGCCCTCATCTCTCATGAATCTCCCAATGCCATTTGTTCTTACGTATAATTTAAATTTGCCTGCGTATGTTAGATATTAAGAAGGGATCAAATCAATCAATTAATCAATCTATCAATCCCGGCCTGAACGAACGCTCTATCAACTTGAATGGACCACGCTGCGTATGCGCAATGCGTCTGCCAGAGCATGCTTACTGATACTATTTTGTCGTTAAATGTCGTTCAATCGTTTGAGGATTACCTTCAACATATGTCTTTAATGTACTATATTACGATATCCAGTCCTAAGTTCGATCTAAGTTGAGGAGGGATGGGGTTAGCATGTGAAGAGCCCACCTTCGAACCACCCACCGAATGATATGATGATTGCGCATTTGAATTGAAAATTTTGTTACATGTTTTTCCACACACCAACCCGTACCCGTACCCTTAACCATACCCGTACTCATACCCGTACCCATTGGAATGTTTGGCGGCATGCTAACTCAATGAATACGGCAATGAATACCACAAAATGATATGCCAACTGCTTTCTCTTGTTACAAACTCGTATTTACTCGTACTTTTATATATATATATATATATACTTATCTCTATCTATCGCACTCACTGTGTTTTGCCTTTTGTTGATGATAATGATGATGGTTATGATGATGATGATATTGATGATAACGATGATGATGATGATGATGATGGTGATGATGGCGCACACAGTTGAACACAGGCCTGCGTAATCCTTTCAAAAAAGTAAACACAACCGTAAACAAATGCTCACATTTCTCGTTTATAAGTAACTGCACTTGAGAATCTCTTAAGCAAATATACCACGTACCACTCTATACTCTCTGTATACTCTACTATACACACACACACACACACGCACACAAACACACACCTATTATTCCCCCCCACATATACTACTTAAATATATTTATAAAGATACATACAGATATATGTATAATATTTGCTTTGCGCCTTTGCCTGTCAGCGAATCGGATGGGATGGTGGGAAGCTGCTTGAGTGGAGGCTAATCCGCAATCCCTTCTGTTTTTCTGTTTTCTGTTGGTTATGCTCCGACTTAACCCGGTTTCTGCCAGAACAGGGGCACAGACACAGAGACAGGCTGGCACAGGCAACCCTCTGACTTTTATACCCTCTCTGCTTGGAGGTAAAAGAAGGGATGGCCTGAATAGCAGGCTTAAGCCCTCTTCTTTTATTTCCACTGCAAAGCGGGATACACAGAGTCGGTATTTAATACTTTTGAATTGATGGTCTCCGACACTTTCCAATTCCAGTACTTTACTTTTAGTTTTCCAATGAAATTTGTTTTATTTTGTGTGTGTGTGTTTCAAAACCGTTTGTATCCCACACTATTCAACACTTACCACCAACTTAAGCTTTCCAACACTGCTTTATTTATTCCCGCTTTTACGCTTTCCAGCACTGCTTTGCACGACTGCTGCATGCTCCTTTCTCGCACTGTTCAGGCATGTTGAGAGCTTCTCTCTCTCTCTTCCAAATTGGCTGGCTACAAAATTGTTTCATTCTTTCGTTTCGATTGCGATTTGTGTTCCGTTCCATGGCGTTCTGCTTGCAATTGCTTGCATAACCGCTTCGCTTTCAGATTAATCAAAATTGAATACTTTTCTTAGCCAAAATCAGCAATCAGACAAAAATAAAATGCTAGAAGATCCAAAAATAGAAATAAATAAAAATGAAACGAACGTGCAACATTAAAATGAATAAACTACAATTTAAATGTCTTCTTCTACTTTTGTCTGCTCTCTCTCTCTCTCTTTCTCACCTTCACACTCTCTCTTTCTCTCTCTCTCTCTCCCTGCGCTGTTCTTCACGCTCTCCGCCACCGCCTACACGATCCCACAAATACACACAAACACACACACATTCACGATCGCTTGCTCATTTCAAAAACCGTTTCCGTAACCCGTTTCCCGCTTCACACATACGCGCTTCTTTTGTTGTGTAATCGCTTATCGATAACCAATCCTTCACTGCGCATCATCAACATACTCTCACACACACACACACACTCACACTTTCAATTCTAACAACTAAAAATAAAAACAACTACAACCGATCTATATAAACTACAACATCAACATGAACAACAACAGTTCTACCAGGTGAAGCTCAACTCTCGATTTCTTTCTACAAGAATTGCCTTTGAAAACTATATCGAATGTTTCTGTTTTCTGTTTCTGTTTCCGTTTCCGTTCCACTGTTCATTCCGTTTCGTTTCGTTTCCGTTTAATTTTCGTACGTGTACGTGTCTGTTGTTAACGTAATTTCTTGAACGTCATTTGTATAGCTCACACATCCTCATCTCATCGTGTATCGTGTATATCTCGGGGTTGGGGGAGTGTATCTGTCGCAGTGCCGCTACCCCCTCCCCCTCAATGATATGTATTTGTTTTCATGTGTGTATTATAGCCCAGCTCATATGATTCCATTCCATTCCATTGCTTATCCTCCCATTCCGCCTCTCACTCGTGTTCAAGTCAATATCGAATCACAGAACCACAAGATAAACCACATAATCTTATCAACTCAAAGGGTAACCTCAGGTTCAAACCTCAACCTCTCAACCCCATCCATATCTAGCTTCAGCTTATACACCGTTCCTCTACCCACCACCCTACCATCCCCATCGTTAGCCCGTCCCTTAGTCAATTTGTTCGATGTGTCATTTGGATAATTGAGAGAAAAGTTGTGTTCAGAGAACCGCATCGCACCATCCTAATTGATCCCCTCGTATACCTCGTATATCTGTCCATCCTGTCGACCGGCTCCCGCAATCCACTCTACCACCGACCCACTGCCCACTGCCAATCCCCAATCCCATTTCCTCACAGAATGAATAATACAACAAACAAAAAAAGTTTACTGAATATACTGGTAGATATATATATTTTCCGTGGCACCTTTCGAGCTGAAAATAAAAATTTTACATTCGGTGCAGAGCTTTTTAATTGGGAAACTTCTGTTGCTGTTGCTGCTGATGCCGTCCGTAACGTCCACGTGAGTGGGTTGACGAGGCGTGTAGTGGATTTTTCGTAAGGGCCCTGATGTTACATTGTTGTCTGAGCCATGGCAACAGCTGTAGCAGTAGCAGTAGCAGTTGCAGCAGCTATAGCTGTAGCCGGAGCTGGGACGAACATTGTTTTTTGACAATCCAACAAGTTGAAGCGAGAGCTTAACAAGTTTTGTTTTCAGCTGAAACTCCGGCCCGAAACTGATAATGGAATGAAAGGGTAAAAGTTACCTTAATTGTACGGATTAAGACCAGATATTCGAATCACTTTAATGCGATTTATTGAGTGAATTTCGCCATTTAGTGGCACTAGGTGAACCAGCGCCTTGATATACGTATATATCTATCGATTAATGATCGATTGAGTTTCTGAAGAATAGAATTCTCTCCGCTCGTGGAAATGTGGAGTATCATCAGTTCATCATATTGTAGCAAACCCATCTCTCTCCCACTCTCTCTCTCCCTCTCTGTCTCTACGAATCCCTCGCCTCGATATACTTATCGATTAATAAACGAATTTAGCCTTAAATTAGTCTTAATGTTAGCTTTAGCTTTAGCCTTAGCTTTAGCTTAGTTTTAACCCTAATCCTTGAATTAACTTGAACTTAATCCTAAACATATTTTGACTACTGGAATGCCAATTGTTTCGTTTCGTTTCATTTCGTTCCGTTCCATTCCGTTCGGTTGCGTTGGACTTGATTTCGGGTCCAACTTTCGTTTTATGTTCGTTCGTTGATTGCCCGTGTTTGCTGCATGTGTTACCAAAAACTGTTGTCCATCCTACGAATCCTACTACTACTACTACTACTACTCCCCCAATATCAAAATCCCCCAATCAACATCAACAACAACAACAACTCAACAACAACTATGACTACAACAACGAAAAATAAATAAAAAAAAAAAACAAAAAACAAAACCGAAACTCATGTTAACCGTATGTATACCAATAAAAACCAAAAAATCAATCTCCTTATCTTGAAACGCACCCATAATCTATCCCATACTCCACTCTACTATTGCCTATCCTTTGTGTGTCTTTTGCGTAAATATACATATACTTACTATTCCATTCGTATATCTCGTATCTTCGTATAACTCGCATTTCTTCCTTTCCGAGCAAACTACTCTCTGTAAACTGTAAACTATACAACGAGAACTACTCAAACGATCCATTCGATTCGAGGACAGCATAAGTTACTTGACTAATGTGCCGCAGTTGTTCTGTTTCTCGTTTCTCACGTGGCAGCTGCTCGACCACGTGCTGTTCAACCCAGCACTGTGGATCTACACGCCGGCGAATGTCCAGGCCCGACTGTACTCCTATCTGGCCACCGAGTTCCTCAGCGACACTCAGATCTACAGCAATGTGCGACGCGTGAGCACCGTCCTACAGACCGTGCACACCCTCAAATACTATTACTGGGTGGTAAATCCACGTGCCAAGAGCGGCATCATACCGAAGGGCCTAGGTGAGTGCCGGAGCCAGGATCGCTTGGGTGGCATTTATTTTACAGGGGATCCCCGTTTATACCCAATTTAGATGGACCGCGTCCAGCGCAGAAGGATATACTGGCCATACGTGCCTACATCCTGCTGTTCCTCAAGCAACTGATAATGATCGGCAACGGGGTCAAGGAGGATGAACTGCAGAGCATACTCAACTATTTGACCACCATGCATGAGGTGAGAGTGAGAGCCATAGCCATAGCCTCCTAGAGAACGGAGTTCTATATCGGATTTGCACTTCGCATTTCGTATTTTCAGGACGAGAACCTGCACGATGTGCTGCAAATGCTCATCTCATTGATGTCGGAGCATCCCAGCTCCATGGTACCTGCCTTCGATGTGAAGCACGGCGTGCGCAGCATCTTCAAGCTGCTGGCGGCCGAAAGTCAATTGATTCGCCTCCAAGCCCTCAAGCTTCTAGGGTTCTTCCTCTCGCGAAGCACACACAAGTAAGTGGTGGGATATACCATGTGCCAGATACAGGGTGTGGGTTGGGGGGACTGTTACCGTATAATCCAGTGTCGATACAGTTATCGTTGGAGTGTCACACAACTAAATATATGTCGATTTCTGTATCGAGCAATCGTTTCTGCCTTATCCCTCATCCTAAGCGTAAACTCTTCCTCCCTGGCTAGGCGCAAGTACGACGTGATGTCGCCCCACAATCTCTACACACTGCTGGCCGAGCGCCTGCTGCTGTACGAGGAGTCGCTGTCGCTGCCAACCTACAATGTCCTCTACGAGATCATGACGGAGCATATCTCGCAGCAGATCCTCTACACACGCCACCCGGAGCCAGAGAGCCACTATCGTCTGGAGAATCCAAGTAAGAATCCAACCACACTCGTATTCCCCCCTGAAATTCGCCCTTGAAATTCACCCCCTAATTCTTGAACCCATAACCAACCACAACCAATTTCGAAATGCAGTGATACTGAAGGTGGTGGCCACACTGATCCGCCAGTCGAAGCAGACAGAGTCGCTGATCGATGTGAAGAAGCTGTTCCTGCAGGACATGACGCTGCTGTGCAACAGCAATCGGGAGAACCGGCGCACGGTGCTGCAGATGTCCGTGTGGCAGGAGTGGCTCATCGCGATGGCGTACATTCATCCCAAGAACAGTGAGGAGCAGAAGATCAGCGACATGGTATACTCGCTCTTCCGCATGCTCCTGCATCATGCCATCAAGCACGAGTATGGCGGCTGGCGCGTCTGGGTGGACACCCTGGCCATCGTCCACTCGAAGGTCTCCTACGAGGAGTTCAAGCTGCAGTTTGCCCAGATGTACGAGCACTATGAGCGGCAGCGCACGGACAACATCACTGATCCCGCTCTGCGCCAGGCCCGGCCCATCAGCACGATCAGTGGCTGGGAGCGCGAGGAGCTGCAGCAGCAGCAGAACGGAGGAGGAGCTGGAGCTCCACCGGCTGCCATTCAGAGCCAGGCCACGGTGCCGGCTGTGAAGGGAGCCGTGTCCATTGCCTCGCTGGAGGATGTGGCCGCCGTCGTCGAGGAGGAGGACGATATGGAGGAGGAGACCGTCGAGGAGCTGGAAAGCTTTGAGCTACCTGTCGATGGCGAAGTAGATCCCCAGGACCCCGCAGATACTGCAGATCCCGATCCCGATCGCGATCCCTCCCTCCGTCCCGGCAGCGCTGATGGATCTGAGGCCCCGACGGATCAGGAGGTGCCAGCCGTGCCGCCGAGCACCAAGTCGGTCATTGCCAACATTTCCGACGTGTACAACGAGCAAATCAAAACGGACGAAGCGCTCCAGGCCACGTCCACATCCGCGTCCACTCTGGTACCGGCGCCCACCTGCAATGGCAGCCTCGAGTCGGAGCTGAAGCTGGAAAAGGAGAAGAAGCCGCAGTCAGAGGTGGATCCCACGGCCACACCTTCGGAGGGAGGCCAGGCTGCGCTAAGGAAAGCCCTGCAGCTAGGCGACGACATGGATGTGGAGGAGCTAGAGCTGGCCACGGCCAAGGATGCCCTCGATGTGGAGCAGCATGTGGCGCATGTTCTGCAGTCCTCGGAGGCGGCGCTCAACGACTGCAAGCTGGTCATGGACGATGTCCTGCAGGAGGCCTCCTCCGTGCTGAAGGACGAAGAGATTGAGCTGGCCGTCAACGAAGTGGTCCAGGGTGTTCTCAACAACGAGAAGAAGTCCCAGGAGCAGCAGAAGCAGCAGGAGCCGCAGGATAATGTCAGTCTTCTGAATAGCAAGAATCTGCTCAACAACAACTACAACAACAACAATAATCCCAGTCCCAGTGAAGAAGAGCGCAGAGAGGTGACCACCACCAGAGCCGCAGGGGATGGAGAGGCGGATGCGGAGGCGGAGACGGAAACGGAGGTCAATGCCAACGAGATCACCAACCACAGTGCCACAGCCACTCCGCTACCGAAGAGCGAGAGTCCCGCGGAAGCAGCGGCAGAAAAAGCGAAAGCGGAAACGGAAACTGCGACGAAAGCTGAAGCGGCAGCGGCTGCGCCAGCGGAAGCGGAACCAAGCCCGAGCCCCACACTAGAAGCAACCAATCAAAAGACTGAAGAAGCAGCCAACAAGCTGAACAATAACGAGAAAGTCGAGCAGCCAGAGAGCAGCCAGGAGAGCATCTCCACGCCCGACATCAGCGTCAGTCCGGACACCAGCACAGAGCCGGAGAACGAGGAGAATCTTCTCCTGCTGCAGTTGGCCGAGTCCGAGGCAGAGCCCCAGTTGAAGTCCGAGGTACAGCACTCAGCCGAGCCAAGCGAGGATCTGGTGGAGCTGGCAGTGCGTGATATTGTGGAGCAGCTGATCGAAAAGGTGATCGATGCCACAGCAGCGACAGACGCCCCAGCCAAAGCCGAGACGGAGACCAACAACAACGAGCTGCCCGGCTCCAAAGGAACGGAAACGGAAGCGGAAGCGGCAGCGGCAGCCATAGTCGTGCCTGAGGAAGTGAAACCCCAACCGGAGGAAACACCCCAAAGCGTGGCAGCCGCAGCCGAAGAAATTGTCCACGAGGTGGTCGAGGCTGCTCTTGTCCTCGCACAGGAATCCCAACCAATCCAAGAAGAGCCAGAGAAGACAGAGGAAACGGACACTAAAACGGTAAAAGAGGCCGACACCGAAACGGAAACAAAGGAGCATGTGACGGCCATTGTAAACGAAGTGCTGGACACACTGGTGGAGGAGACCGTGAAAGCAGTGGGCGAGACCGTCAACGTTAACAAGGTGGAGGCCTCAGAGCAGACGACCCAAACTTCACCGGCACCGCCGGAGGAGCAGCCAGAAGAGCAGCAGCCGCCTGCTACAGTGGCTCCCACGCCCGGCCGGGTCAAGCCCATGGAGGTAGACTCGACCACCCAGACAACGCCAAAGAATGAAGCTGGTATCGGTGTCATCCCTTCGCTGTTGACCCAGGAGGAAGTGCAGCTCCAGGAGGAGGAATCCCAGACAGGGGAGACAGTGGAGGACTGTGAGGAGCCGTCGTCGGGCATCGAGGGAAACGCTCAGCTCGAGTCCAGTCACTACGGTAAGTGGCAGAGCAGTCCTGACCTTAGAAGCTGACCTTTAATTTTCCCCTCCCCTCATCTCACAGCGAATCCAGCCGGTGGAGAGGCAAAACAGCAACAGCAGCAGCAACCGCAGCAGCAGCAGCGCTCCAAATCCGGCTCGACGCGTCCCATGTTCAGTCCGGGACCGACGCGTCCGCCCTTCCGCATACCGGAATTCAAGTGGTCGTACATCCATCAGCGGCTGCTCAGCGACGTGCTCTTCTCGCTGGAGACGGACATCCAGGTGTGGCGCAGCCACTCCACCAAGAGCGTCTTGGACTTTGTCAACTCCAGCGAGAACGCGATCTTCGTGGTAAACACGGTGCATCTGATCTCCCAGTTGGCCGACAATCTGATCATCGCCTGCGGTGGACTTTTGCCTCTGTTGGCCAGTGCCACATCTCCGAATGTAAGTAGAATCCGAACCCAAGCCCAATCATCGTTGAGCCTTCCATGAAATTATTCCGAATTGCAGTCGGAGCTGGATGTGCTGGAGCCGACGCAGGGCATGCCCCTGGAGGTGGCCGTATCCTTCTTGCAGCGTCTCGTTAACATGGCCGATGTCCTGATCTTTGCCACCTCGCTGAACTTTGGCGAACTGGAAGCCGAGAAGAACATGTCCAGCGGTGGAATACTGCGCCAGTGTCTGCGTCTCGTCTGCACCTGTGCGGTGCGCAACTGCCTCGAGTGCAAGGAGCGCACCCGCTACAATGTGGGTGCCCTTGCACGGGATGTGCCCGGGGCGGCGCATCTGCAGGCACTCATACGCGGCGCCCAAGCATCGCCAAAGGTGAGTACTCTACCCCCAGCCGACGCACCCAATCCATAGAGAGCGCTAATCCTCATCGGTGTCAATCCGCACAGAACATTGTGGAGTCAATCACCGGTCAATTATCGCCCGTCAAGGATCCCGAGAAGCTTCTGCAGGACATGGACGTGAATCGGTTGAGGGCCGTCATCTATCGTGATGTGGTAAGTGGAAACCAAGAGACCCATGACACCCGCCATGACACGCCCTCCCTTTCGTTCGTTTCTCTTGTGCATTTGCATTCGCAGGAGGAGACGAAGCAAGCGCAGTTCCTCTCTCTGGCCATTGTCTACTTCATCTCCGTGCTGATGGTGTCCAAATACCGCGACATTCTGGAGCCACCAGCAGAGCCACAGATCCAGCGCCAGTCGCCGGTCCTGCAGCGCACCTCAGGCGGCGGTAAGTTACCCAAAACTCTGACCCACTCAAATAGGGCTATATAAATACTCTGTAGCTATAAGGATTACTACCCTGCTATATATGCCATGGGTAGGGGCTCCGGCTCCGCCTGCCAGTGGAGTGGAGAAGTGGGACCCTCAACTGAAACTTTTTCGTTTCCGTCTCATTTCATGTTCCTTTCGTTTCGTTTCGTTTCGTTTCGTACCACTTGTGTTTTTCGGTTGCGTCTGTCGCTCGATTCCGTTTCCTGTTTCTCGTCTTCTGTTCCTTTTCGGTTAGTTTCTGATTTTCCGATGATTTTGCTGCACCAAAAACTTCACTCGTTTATGTTTTCTACTTTCGATATCTGTACAATAAAAAAAATACCATCTATAATCTAATCGATTGATATATTTGGTTCTGTTTCGATTCGGCCTCCAGTGTTACCATATTTCGTTTACTTTCGTTTCGTTCCATTCCGTATCGTTTCGTTGCGGCTTGTTTCGCTTTGGTTTCTGTGCGTTTTTTGGTTTTTTCGTCGTTTCGTTTTTGTGAACAGCTAAACGAAAGTTTTTTCTGGTAGATGCCACATGACCTATGAAAATATGTTAGCCACCCCTCCGCCCACCTACCACTCCTTTTAAAGCACCTGACCGCACCGCACCACACCGCACATTGTCCACGCTCCCCCCGCACCCAGCAGCATTCCATATACAGAGAGGTCCCCGTCCATGTGCGTGTGTGTGTGTAAGTCCTCCCAAAAGAATACCCGAATACCGTCCCACATCCACATCCCACTTAGGCGCACTCTGCACCATCCACCATACCCACCACCCACCACCTACCCCACCTACCCCACCCACTACCCCATTCTTTTTTTAGGCTATTTATACATACACATATATGTATATATCTATCTACATGCATATACTATATAATCACCTAGTCGTTAAGCAACACATCGTTGATTAGCCAGCCCCAAAAGCGCCCGCCGCCCCAGCCGCCCCGCCCCTAAAAAAAAAAGAGAACTCATGTCTGTCCATTGTTGGAGATACTATTCGGTTTTATGTTTCTTTTCTTTGTTCCGTTTTTCGATGATTTCATTTCACGCTGCTTTTTCGGATTTATTGTACAAAAAAAAAAAAAACAAAAAACAAAAATAAAAAACACAAAAATGGAATACAAAATATATATAAACAAAAACATCGTCAAAAAACGTACCCATCGCCCGGCCTCGCCCCCTACAAAACACGTGAATCCGAATCCCTGCCCGCCATTCCCTCAATGTGTGTGTGTAAATAAACCACGATAATCTCGATTACCATAACGATAACGATAATGATAACGATAACCATAGAAGCCGCCAGTGCGCGCCCTCTGTTCCCCCAATGGTCGCACCATGTCTACCCGCAATTCCTGCCCGAGTCGCACCAGAATCATGTGGCTGCCGCCTCCTCCATGCAACACCAGCAGCAGCAGCAACATTACTACCACCAGCAACAGCAACAGCAGATGCAACAACAGACATCCCATAACCATAGCCACCATCATACGAGTATGACGGCTGCCTACTACCAGCAACAGCAGCAGCAGGCAGCAGCTACACAACAGCAGCAGCAGCATCAACAGCACCAGCAGCAGCAACAGCTTGGTGGCAACATCTCACCCACACCCTTGGCCACGCACTCGAGCAGCTCGTCCGCAAGCTCGACAGCCACCTCGCAGCCGGCCTCGAGCTCCTCGCTTTCCTCGCTGGCCTCTCAAAGCCACCAGCAGACGCACCGGCAGCTCCACAAGCAGCAACAGCAGCAGCAGCAACACTACCATCCTCACCAACAGCAGTCCCACTATGGAATGATCAATGGCCATCAGCAGCAACAGCAGCAGCAGCAGTTGAATGGGAAGCATTATGGGGAGAATGGATCCACAGCTGGCTATCATCCGCACCCGCACTCTCATTCGCATCCGCATGCTTATGTGCGCAACGGAGAGACTGCCACACAGCAGAATAGATTGGCAGAGTACCAGATGCCTGGAGGAGCAGCCGCTGGCACTGCAACTGGAACTGTAGCTGGAGGAGCTATAGCTGGAGGCCTGGTGAATGGCCATGCCACGGGTGGTGGCAACAACAATAATGCCAACATGATGAACAACATGCGGAATCTGAGAAACGGCCACAGTGCTGCCACATCATCTGTTGGTGGAGCTGTGGTTGGGACAGGAGCTGGATCTGGACCTGGACCTGGATCTGGAGGCGGCATGAGCAACATGAACATGAACATGGGCATGGGAATGGGCATGGGAATGGGTATGGGGATAGGTATGGGAATGGAAGGAGACGGTGATGTTGGCGTAGGCGTAGGCGGAGGCGTGGCGTACAAGACAAACGCCATAAACAATAATTACCGCTACAATGGACAACGCACCGCATCCGTTTCCGGCTCTGGAACAGGTATCGCTCGCTCGAGTGTTTTGTAGAGTAGTTGTAATGTCACGCTCTCTCGACTCTCTCTCTCTCTCTCTCTATCTATCTATCTATTTATGTATCTATGTATCTCTTACCGTTTCTGTATCTGTACTTGTATCTCTATCATTAAACTATCTTCCCCCATTATTTAGTATTTAGATTGTAGCGAATATATTTTTTTATTTCGATCTCCTTTCCTCACTTACCTTTGTACCTCTCCTTATCGTTTCCTTGCCGATATAGTTTTTGTGTTGTGTATAGCCATACCTTCGGTACCGTAATCCGTAATCCGTAATCCGTAGTCCGTAGTCCGTAGTCCGTATCTACTAGTATTACTCGTAGCTATTCTGTATGTGTGTGTTTGTGTCTGTATGTGTAGTATCTCAATCTTTGTTCTGCCAGTTCTGTTTTACGACTGTGTGTGTGTGTTCTGTTCTCTGTGGGTGTGTGTGTGTGAGGAGGGGGTGTGTACGCATAGCTTGTACATACATAATATTTCTATGCTACACACACCCTGCGAGAAAAGAGATTCTTTATTTTTGCATTTATGGAGTGTTTTTGTTTTTGTTATTTTTTTAGTTATGCTCTCGCTCGTTCTCCCTCTCGCTCTCTCGCTCTCTCGCTCTCTATGTTAACATCCGGGGTATCCGAGTGCTGCTGTCCTGCATACCCCGGGGCTTATTCAGGGAAATCCACAAATGCAGATACTGATACTGATTCCTGTCTGTGCCCCCAAAGCGCCTTAAATATTGAATTATCTCCGTGGCAACAACCCCACCCGCCCCCAACTCATTTACCCATCGATGACCGCTTTTATTATTAACATTATTATCGCTCGTAAGCATATTTAAGTGCATAATCCATCTCGCTTTGACCGGCCAAACGACCACACGATATGGGATGGGACTCACCCTAAACCCCACAATTCCCCCATGAATCTTCCGGCTTAATCAGAGTGTTTTCCCTCTGCTTGTTCTTCTGGCTTCTTGCTTGTGGCTTTTCTTGGTTTCTCGCATTTTTCGCCCCGGCTTTTGCGGGGCTTTTCAGTTGTTCCAGCTCCCAGTTTTTCCCCCCCAGTTTGTCAGTTTTTCCGTTTTCCGTTTTACGTGTTTCTGCCCCACAATGCACCATTCATACAAACAAATATACATACTCGTAAATTTTTATTGAAATTCGGACATTTTCTGCTTGGAGATCGAGTCCTTCTCGTTTTGGTATTTATTGTTTATCTACAAAACTATTTACAGCATTTATTTCTGTGTGTGTTATGGAAAATGAACTCATACTCGTGCTGGGCGATGGAAAATGGCAGGAGAGACGGGAGACTTTTAATTGCAAGACAGGAAATGATGTGTGTGTGTGTGTGATGTAATACTCTGCTGTGGCAGCTTCATGTGGGAAAGGAATAGGAAGAGGGAAAGGGAAAGGGAGAGGGGTATACGTTATCCAAATTTGCTTTTAAAAACTGCAATCTATCTTTGTAACACCCTAACTCACACACACACGGCCCCAGAATGTGGCAGCCACACAGTGACAGCCAGAAATTTTGGACCAACTTCAAACTAGAACTTTTTACCAGGCTCTCTCTCTGTCTCTATCTATCTATCTCTTTGTATCTTTCTATCTGGCCTTCTTTCTACTCTGCTGGCTCGTCATTTTCATGCTGTCAGCAGACATTTTATTTCATTTATCTTCATTTGCAACACACACACACACACACACATAGACTCGGGGTGGCAAACTCAGAGGCCACCAGGGGCCGCCTGAAAATGTATCACACACACACACACACAAATCACCCCCGCCCCGCCCCATCATCACTGGCAATGAAACAGAATTCGTTAATTTTACATTTTATGAAAATGAATTACATGAAAATTATACAATTTTCCATTCATACACGCGTTCGAGCTTGTGTGTGTTAGTGCGTCAGGATCTGTGTGTGTGTGTGTGTGTTTCAGGGCGCATAAAACATTTCGCAGACAGGCCATAAAACGGTATTCGGCACGCCTGCATTTTAAAAATTACCATTGGACATGGTCCGAGCCACGCGAATGGAAAGGGATCCCTCCAACCGCCCCCGCAGAAAACAGACCAGCAAAAAATATGGCGAAGGTGTGGGAATATAGGTAGACGAATGGGGGAATACCCTGCAGCTCTCGAACAACGACAGGCCGTCAGTAATCAATCGAGTATCAATCGATCGTCCGTTCAATCGTCCAACGAGGTCCATTGTCGAGTATTTTCTGTTTTACTCAAGTCAATTACATATATGGAAAAAGTACCGTGATCCTGATTGAGTAGGATTGATCGGCTCCTAAACGATAACAAACACAAGGGTTAGCCCTCCACGGACTCGCAGTCATTCAGTGCCTGCCATCTAGGGGTCATTCTAGGGTAGCAACAGCATTCCCATTACGATTTTAATGGCAGCGACAAAAATGTAAATTAGTCGCGCCAAAAAACAGGAAAAAAACGAGCGCAAAAAAACAGCCACAACAACAAAAACAACAACGACAGAATGGGGAAAACTTTTAGGATAATTTATGAAAGCAGAAAACGAGAGAACAAAGCGTAGGGGAAAAATGAAAAGCGACAAAAGCAAAAACAAAAAAAAAAATGCGAATTGCGAAGGAAAACAGTTTGTACAACTGTTGGAGCCGATAACACGCTCCGAATTCTGTTCAAAAGTAATTTGTGGCCAGCGCTCCCTGTCTCTCTCCCACTCAATCTGTGTGTGTGTGTGTGTGTGGGCGTGGCGGTGCATGAAAATAATTGCAAAATTAAACGAACGAAAAAAGAAGTGGAGGCAGAAGCAGAAGGTGGAATAATGGAGGAGCAGGACATAATGGATAGAGCGAGCGGCCGGCGAGTGCACAAAAGTGTAGCATACTTAATGGGGATTGCAGAGAGGAGGCACAGGGACCAACTGGAGCACGTGTTACACGGCCACCATCCGCATGTCAGGGACCATCATAAATTTCAATTAAGCCAGGATCAGATCAGGCCAGAGCCAACTGTTAAACAAGGTTAATTTGTAGATAAAACCCAGGCAGCAGGCAGCAGCCACCAGTCGGCAGTCTGTAGTCTGTAGTCGGCAGTCGGCAGTCCAAAGAGAATTTCACACCTCGCACTCGAAGCCAGGGATTAGGGAAAATTATGAAAGGAGGGAGCACTTTTCGTGGCTAATTCATGCAAATGCTCCTTTCAAATACTTCCTCTGCCCTACTCTGCCTTCCCTGTGAGTCTGTGAGTCGGTGTGTCTGTGTGTCGGTGTGTCTGTGTGTCGTGAATGTCTGCAGAGTGTCTGCCTCTTGAGTTCTACTTGTGTTTATATTTTTTCTTTGTGGGCTTATTCCGTTTGTTCATTTTCCCACCGTACACTTTTCCATTCGAGTTTTCGAGTTGAGTTTTTAGAGTTTCCATTTCCGTTTCAGTTTGTCTACAGCTTCGTGCTACCGTAAATTCTACAGATATCTACTCTAGTGATTGAAACTTATTGTAACGAATCGAAGAAGTACACGAGAAACAGTCGACACACACACCATTTCGACCCATTCTGTGGCATGCAACTAATCGTTCTCTTTTTCTCTCTTCTCTCTTTCCGTATCTGTGTGCTCTTTCGTACTCCAATCTGTAGGTGGACGCCAGATCCAGGACAGCGACTATGAAATTATTGTCGTGGATGAGAACAATCCGTCGGTGCTGGCGGATAATGATTCGCATTCGAGCGGACCGCCATCGATCAAGGTGAGTTTTTTGTGAACGCGACTGTACTCGTATGAATGCAAGTGAAAGCAAGTGGATGCAGGTGAATGCAGGTGAATGAATGGGTGAGTGAATAGGTGAGTGCGTGTGCCGCAAAGAAGGAGGTCTGTCGCATGACTGTCCTTGATGCATGCGACATGAACTGTGACAGAATGCGACACGCGGCAGTGTATGTCCACGTGTGTGTATGAGTGTGACTAGAGTTAGTGCATCGTATAGATTATATTTCTAAGAAAATCTAAGAAAAAAAAAACCAAAAACTAAACTTCATTTGCATGTGCAACGAATCGCAAAAACGTAACAAAATTTCCAAAAAAATACAAATCGAAAATGTCACAGGCCAACAACCAGACATCAACAACAGCCCATAATATTTACAACAACAACAACACTAAGACAACAACAAAAACAACAACAACAAAAAGTACTACCATTACGACAGCAGCTGCAGCTGCAACAACAACAGCAACAACAACAACAACAATTAAAATTCAACAACAACCATTGTCACCACCAAAGCCAATGGTGCCACAGAGACTACCAAAGGTAACAATGAACCACAGCCAAAAAAACTAAAAAAAAAAAAGAAACAGTCACAAGAAGTACAGCCACAAACAACTGCAACAAAACATAGCTTTTGACCGTCTGTAAAACCACCCAAAAAGCCACTCACTCACTTATGCCCACGCACCACGTGCCACGTACTGCCACAGCCACAGCCCACAAAACACAAACCATTGAAGCACTGTTACTGAAATTCGCCATTGAATCCTTCATTATTTGTGTTCGTTTCGTTTCGTTTCATTGAGTGCTTTAATTAGTGCCGCACACACTGGCCTATGGCTTCAATTATATATGTACATACATACATATTTATTAATATTAATGTGTACGAGTATTTTTATTTGCTTCAATAATTGAATTGAATTACCCTTTGCTGTAGGTCCATTAGTAAATCTCGATCTTCGATTTTTAATTAAAGATAGTGACAACATATTCCCTATTCCAGTGTAGACTGTTTCCATAGCACTCCTAAATATACACTCCGAGAAAAAAGTCCTTATTTTGGAGATTAAAAAGTTTGTTTTCACTTTAATTTGGACAATCAATTTCATATAAAAAATGCACATTTAAATTGAATATTTTCATATTTCTATCTATATATAAATCTTTTGAAATGTTTCATATTTAAAAAACATTGCCCATAAATATTCAAAATTAATTTCAATAAATGTCTGCTTAAATCAAAGTGAATTCTATTTAATTTCACTTTTCTGGTATTTAAAAATTTAAATTCAATTTAAATTAATTTAAATATGGGTGTCTCTTCGTCAACAACGCCATATTTCTCTGAGTGTTGTAATGGACAATGGAAAAATATCTGTAAATCTATAAAAATGCATAATACCAATGCCAGAGGGCATTTTTTAGAATAACCGACTTAGCCGTGCTAAAAAGAATTACGAAAGGATTTTATAATTTTATTTTCAGTCAGTAAACCGCCTTGAAAAATCCACAAGTTACGTTTAATAATTATTAACCCTATTGCTTTTCGTTTCTTCCAAGAATAGTTACCCCGTCTTTCATTTCGTTTTTATTGATTTTCTCTGATTTCATTTCAAATTACTTTGAATGGGGGGATTATTTACTTTTGAACTCAATTCACTTTTCATTTGTCCATCCCATCTCCATCAATGAATCAAATCATTTAATGAACCGCACCCACACACGCACACAGAACGCATTCGAGTACCACCAGCACCCAGCACCCAGCAGCCAGCACCCAGCCCCCCTCCAGAGCATGCATTGCCACGCGAAGGTGCCTCTTCGCGTTCGGGTGAGGGGGGGGGGGGGGGGCGGGGGGGGGCGGGGGGCGGCTGCGTGTCCTGTGTCCTGAGGGGTGCGTGTCCTCATGTAGGTAGCCAACCGGCGATGTATCCCCGTCCTCGTGTTTGTTTGTCTATGTAAATGTCGTTGTCGATACCGGGTAGAGTGTGTGTCAGTAGTGTGTCTGTAACAGTAAACGTATGTGTATATGTTATGTATGTACGAGTGTATCCCGTGCAATTAGTGATACATGCCCGTAATACACACACCAGAACAAAACACTACACACACTTCTGTGTGTGGAACGCACACTTCTTGGCTTTTATCACGTTTTTCGGTAGCCATTGCTTAATGAACTAATACTCACGCATAATTTATTCCCGCACATGCATACGCACACGCACAGCTAATCATCTATCCATGTGTGTGTGTGTGTGTGTGTGTCTGTGCGTAGTACTAAGTGCACTGCTCTCTCTCCGCCTCCCTCTCTCTCCCTCTCTGTCCCCGTATCTATCTTCCGCTCTCAGTCCACTCCACTCAATGGATGCGTGCATATATCACAGTTGACAGGAAGAGATAAGAGCTTGTACAGGGCCTTGGGTTTGGTCTGCGGATTGGTCCAGGGGATTTTGGATGGGTTTTGAATTGAATTTGGGGTTGTGTGTGTGGATAAGCCTCACGCACACACACAAACGTAGGACATATGGACACACTATTACGGACGCGGACACCGACACGGACACGGACACACTTTTGAGGGCAAACAAAGACAGCGATTGATTTCGTGTTGATGACATGCTGCACGCACTGCTCTATGCCGCTGTCTCTGCCTCTGCCTCTGACACACGCAACACAGCAGCAACAGCTGACGCAACACGGATATGGGACTCCCGGACCTTTCCACATTCCCACATTTCACATTCAATCCGTACGATCCGGACAGACAGCCGGGCGACTGGACAGGCGTGTACCTACCACCTACGTTTTGGGGTTTGGGGTTGGTGTTGGAGCTGCGACATGCGTGTGCAGCGCGTGCCGCTGACATTCTGTTGTATTTGACAGTTGACATTTGTCAAACGCTTAACAAAATTTGTCACATGCCCTGCCAGCTCATTCGTGTTCGGGATTCCGCCACGTTTCGCCACGGTGTCTCCGCTCCGATTCGTACTGCGACGCCTAATGCCATTCGGATGAGCCGAATTTGAGGTAATGGTACGAGATTTTCGGGTTCGGTGTTCCGGGGTAAATCTGGACTACTTTTATGCAAATCAGTTTGACAAACTGTCGCCGCCATGCCCGACAATGAGCGGCAGGCAGGCCGGCAGGCCGGCAGGCAGCAGTAGGAGGAGATGCAGGAGATGTAGGAGATGTCGGAGAACTGGGACGAGTCGATGACAAATGCATGTGTTGACAAAACGGACGGACGCCTGGACATGGTCTCCCATTTCGGGGGGAATGGCGAAGGAATGGCAGGGATGGCGGCTTGCTCGAGAATTTTGATTTATAGTCCAGTGTGCATAATTAATGTGCAAATGATAGGCATACATCAAAACACCGCCCACACACCCAGACACACACTGCTTTTAATGTATTCAAACCCACACAAACACACAAGGAAAAGGGAAAGAGAGTGGGAGAGAAAGTCGGAGAGAAAGCGAAGAACACCCACATCAAGGGTGGCCCAATCTGGATTGCTCTTCTTCTGCCCCCGACCTCCACCCGTAAAGTTATGCATATTTTGATTACCTACTTATTTATCATCTATTCCCAAATTCCAAAACCCAAAACCCTCCTCCACATCCACACCCACACCCACACCCGCAACCACACCCAAACAGAGCGTCGACTCGGACGTGGGCTCCCTGAACATGAACTCAACCGAAAACGAAGTTCCCGAGGTGGAGTCCTCCAGCGAGATCCTGATCGATGACCACCACAAGCCCAGCCACTCGAACGACGAGAGCTGGACGGATGTGAATCTGAACGAGGATGCCGCCGTTCAGGCGGCCAGCGCTGGCATGGTGGTGGGACTCGTCGACGGTGGGGACAAGCACGATCCCTCCTCGGCCACCCATCCCCATTCCCAGCATGGACAGCAGGGAGGCGCCGCAGGAGCAGGCGGGCCACAGCAGCAGCAGCAGCAACAGCAGCACGGACCACTGGGTCATGGGATCATGGGCGGAGAGCGGGGCGACAAGCCCGACTCGGAGATCTCTGTGGTGCGGGTTCCCGATGGCTATGGCAGCGGCTCGACGGGCTCTGCCTCCGGGGCGCCCGTGGGACCCGGCCAGGGCGTCGGCGGTGGCCAACGTCCGCGGCCCGAGGAGCTGCCAATGAAGGCCCCGGCACTCGTGGCCCAGTTGCCGCTGACGACGCCCTCCCGGGAGGCGAGTCTCACACAGAAGCTGGAGATCGCCCTGGGACCGGTGTGTCCGCTGCTGCGCGAGATTATGGTGGACTTTGCCCCGTTCCTGTCCAAGACGCTGGTCGGCTCGCACGGCCAGGAGCTGCTGATGGAGGGCAAGGGCCTGACCACCTTCAAGAACTCACACTCGGTGGTGGAGCTGGTGATGCTGCTCTGCTCACAGGAGTGGCAGAACAGCCTCCAGAAGCACGCCGGCCTCGCCTTCATCGAGCTGATCAACGAGGGCCGTCTGCTCTCGCACGCCATGAAGGACCACATCGTGCGCGTGGCCAACGAGGCGGAGTTCATCCTCAATCGGATGCGGGCCGACGATGTCCTGAAACACGCCGACTTCGAGTCACAGTGCGCCCAGACGCTGCTGGAGCGGCGCGAGGAGGAGCGAATGTGCGACCACCTCATCACCGCTGCCCGTCGCCGGGACAATGTCATCGCCAGCCGCCTCCTGGAGAAGGTGCGCAACATCATGTGCAACCGCCACGGCGCCTGGGGCGATGTCAGTGGAGTGGGCGTGGGCGCGGGAGTGGGGCCAGTTGCGATCCAGAAGAGCACCTACTGGAAGCTGGATGCCTGGGAAGACGATGCCCGCCGGCGCAAGCGGATGGTGCAGAACCCCCGCGGCTCCTCCCACCCGCAGGCCACGCTGAAGGCGGCCCTCGAAAACGGAGGGCCCGAGGACGCCATACTGCAGACGCGCGACGAGTTCCACACCCAGATCGCCGTCTCGCGGGCCCATCCCTCGGCCCAGCACAACGGAGAGCTGCTGGACGATGCCGAGCTGCTGATCGAGGACCGGGAGCTGGACCTCGATCTCACGGGGCCGGTGAACATCAGCACGAAGGCGCGCCTGATTGCCCCCGGACTGGTGGCCCCTGGCACCGTCTCGATCACTAGCACGGAGATGTTCTTCGAGGTGGACGAGGAGCATCCGGAGTTCCAGAAGATCGACGGCGAGGTGCTCAAGTACTGCGACCATCTGCACGGCAAGTGGTACTTCTCGGAGGTGCGCGCGATCTTCTCGCGCCGCTATCTGCTGCAGAACGTCGCCCTGGAGATATTCCTGGCGAGCCGCACCTCCATCCTGTTCGCCTTTCCCGACCAGCACACCGTCAAGAAAGTGATCAAGGCCCTACCGCGTGTGGGCGTTGGCATCAAGTACGGCATACCGCAGACGCGCCGCGCCTCTATGATGTCCCCCCGCCAGCTAATGCGCAACTCGAACATGACCCAGAAGTGGCAGCGGCGCGAGATCTCCAACTTCGAGTACTTGATGTTCCTGAACACGATCGCGGGGCGGACATACAACGACCTCAACCAGTATCCCATCTTCCCCTGGGTGCTGACCAACTACGAGTCGAAGGACCTGGACCTCAGCCTGCCCTCCAACTACCGGGATCTGTCCAAGCCGATCGGCGCCCTGAATCCGTCGCGTCGCGCCTACTTCGAGGAGCGGTACGAGAGCTGGGACAGCGACACCATTCCGCCCTTCCACTACGGCACCCACTACTCGACGGCGGCCTTCACTCTCAACTGGCTGGTGCGCGTGGAGCCCTTCACGACCATGTTCCTGGCGCTGCAGGGCGGCAAGTTCGACTATCCGGACAGGTTGTTCTCGTCCGTGTCGCTGTCGTGGAAGAACTGCCAGCGGGACACGTCGGATGTGAAGGAGCTGATACCAGAGTGGTATTTCCTGCCGGAGATGTTCTACAATGCCTCCGGCTACAGACTGGGACACCGCGAGGACGGGGCCCTGGTGGACGACATCGAGCTGCCGCCGTGGGCCAAGAGTCCCGAGGAGTTCGTACGCATCAATCGCATGGCCTTGGAGTCGGAGTTCGTCTCCTGCCAGCTGCACCAGTGGATCGATCTGATATTCGGCTACAAGCAGCGCGGACCCGAGGCCATCCGGGCCACCAATGTCTTCTACTATCTCACCTACGAGGGCAGCGTCGATCTGGACGGCGTCCTCGATCCGGTGATGCGCGAAGCGGTCGAGAACCAGATCCGCAACTTTGGCCAGACGCCCAGCCAGCTGCTGATGGAGCCCCATCCGCCGCGCAGCTCCGCCATGCATCTCTCCCCCATGATGTTCAGCGCCATGCCCGAGGATCTGTGCCAAATGCTCAAGTTCTACCAGAACTCGCCGGTCATCCACATCTCGGCCAACACGTACCCACAGCTGTCGCTGCCGTCCGTCGTCACCGTGACCGCCGGGCATCAGTTTGCGGTCAATCGCTGGAACTGCAACTACACCGCATCCGTCCAGAGTCCCAGCTATGCTGAGTCGCCCCAGTCGCCCGGTTCCAATCAGCCGCTGACCATCGACCCGGTTCTCGGTGAGCATTTTCCCCGTTTCCAGTTTTCCGGTTCTTTTTAACGCTCCTCCCATATCATCCCCAATCCCCTATCCTGTAGCTGTGCACGGCGCCAATAACAACAGCAATGCGGTGAGCCGCCGCCATTTGGGGGACAACTTCAGCCAAATGCTGAAGATCCGCTCCAACTGCTTTGTGACCACGGTGGACAGCCGTTTCCTGATTGCCTGCGGCTTCTGGGACAACAGTTTCCGCGTCTTTGCCACCGAAACGGGTAAGTCGAGATCCCGTTAGATCTCTTCCCCATAGAGCGCCCTTCTATCGCCACTATCCTTCCCTCTTGTCTCCAGCGAAAATCGTACAGATAGTGTTCGGACACTTTGGGGTGGTCACCTGCATGGCCCGCTCGGAGTGCAACATCACATCCGACTGCTACATCGCATCGGGATCGGCGGACTGCACGGTGCTGCTGTGGCACTGGAATGCCCGCACCCAGAGCATTGTGGGCGAGGGCGACGTGCCCACACCGCGGGCCACCCTCACGGGCCACGAACAGGCCGTCACCTCGGTGGTGATCAGCGCCGAGCTGGGCCTAGTCGTCTCCGGGTCATCCAGTAAGTATTGCAGGAGGATGCTCCATCCTGACGGCTATGTCAAATTCCCTCTTGCCTTTGTGTAGATGGTCCCGTGCTCATACACACGACGTTCGGGGATCTGCTGCGTTCGCTGGACCCGCCATCGGAGTTTCATTCCCCGGAGCTGATCACCATGTCCCGGGAGGGCTTCATTGTGATCAACTACGACAAGGGAAATGTGGCCGCCTACACTATCAATGGCAAGAAGCTGCGCCATGAGACGCACAACGACAATCTGCAGGTAAATTATATTTGATCTTCTACCCTTTCAGATATCTGTATCTCTCTATCTTTGGTGTACCATTTACTGATCATGACACTTGTCTGCCTCTTGAAATTTCTCCCTTCTCCCTTACAGTGCATGCTGCTGTCGCGCGATGGCGAATACCTGATGACCGCCGGCGATCGTGGCATCGTGGAGGTGTGGCGCACCTTTAACCTAGCACCACTCTATGCCTTCCCCGCATGCAATGCGGGCATTCGATCCCTGGCCTTGACACACGATCAAAAGTGAGTAAAACTCCCCAGACAATGTACAGAGTAGCGCATCGAGAAGTCCCTAAAAAAACCCAATACTAAACTTATTTTTTCCCCTGTTTGCTACACTCTTTCCCTACTTTGTTCGAATCTCTTTTCGAATCTTTAGATATCTGCTGGCTGGACTCTCCACGGGCTCGATCATTGTGTTTCACATCGACTTCAACCGCTGGCACCACGAGTACCAGCAGCGCTACTAATCGAAGCCACTGACATTCCAATCCTAGGAGAACACGCGCCGATCCCCGCCAAGGAGAAAGAGAGTGAAAGCAGATGTACTTAAAAGAATGTTGAATGGAGACGGAGAGAGAGAGGGAGAGGGAGAGCAGCAGCGTGCGTTCGAGGAATGGGCGTGAGATGATCGTTTTTTTTTCTATAGACCTTTACAAACTTTAGGCTAGTAAGCAACACTATGGTTTTTTTTTGTCTAGTAATAATTGTGCGTTGGTGTGTTGGTCGAAAACAAAAGGAAAATTACAAAAAAAAAAAACAAAAAAAAAACAGAACAGAAAAGATAACATTTTTTTACTAGATTTACGAATTGTATGTTAGGTTATGGCAATGGAAATGGCGACAGAGAAAAGTGCGGGGAAAAGAGAGGAGCAAAAGAGGAAGTAGGAATGGAATAAAGAGAGCTAAGGAGACGTGGAGTCGGCTGTAGGAGGTAGGAAGCGGCTTAAGTAAGTAGTTGAAGTAAGACAAATGAAGTTAGTGTTTATAAAACGCAATAAGCAGTTAATAAATATAAATCTACAACTAAATCTACAGCTAATTCCCACATGCATTACTATAATAACAATTGTAGCAAAGTTCTCAAAAGAAAGTAAATCGATAACAAGCCTAAAAAACGCAATTAAAGGAAGCCGAAGAAGGCGGAAACGGAAGCGGGAATATATAATGAAACTAAAGCGGCCAAAAGTAGGAATGAGAGAAGCGAGGAGCAAAGAGCAAGGAAATAAAGCCAATTTTTAATTATAGCGTTAGTTCTCTGAGCCACACACAAAGCTACCCACAGATATACACAGATACACGAAAACACACACAGACATCTACAAGCAAAGTATAGGCGATAACTAAGAAAGGAGGGAATAGAGAGAGAATAAAGAGCGGAATTTTAATACACACAGACACTCCCACACAGACGCACACCGGCACACACACTGACACGTATAGGTATTTGTAGCTAAACTAAAACTAATTCTTAGCTCCGCAAAACTAAATCTTAAACCCCTAAATTATCACAGCACTGCTAAAACGGGCCACACATAAATATACACGAATATGAATAAATATATACATACATTTATCCAACCGAATTGCAGACATTTTGTTCTGGTTCTTACCTACAAAAAATATCACGCATACGCCATGCGGCACGTCGCGCGCTTGTCTTAAAATAAAAGGGATAAAGGATAAAGAAGGGGAGAAAAACCAGAAGGAAAGTTTGATTGATTAGTAATTATAAGAGCAGGCATTATTTAATCTAATTCTACTTGATTCCACTCCACTTTTGTTGTTTAGCAATATATTTTAGATAAAAGTGAGAGAGAGAAAGAGAGAGAGAGAAAGAGAAAGAAAGAGAGAAACATGTTCAATAGCGTCCAAAATTAGCTTAACCCCTCCCACACACACAATTGGCTTCCCTGAAACCCCAATCATGTACGTCCAGAACGAAGTGTTTTATATTGTTAGTAGACTATATTTGTATTTGTATTTGTATTTGTATTTTGTGAGCCTCTAGCTACTGGTTGTCTGGAAGACAAGGCGTTGTTTGACTCTTGTTTTCTTTGCCATTGATTTTCAATCGATTTGATAAACCAAAACTAAAACCAAACCACAATCCATCCACGGCGCACCACTCTGGCACTTACCGATTAGATATGTATATACATATATATATATATATACATATATATAATTACCGATAAAACGAATGATAAAGAAAGATTATTACGAGTAAAAAATAATGATAATACTTCAAGTATGAAAATGAATAGAGATTAATGGAACACGTTCGGTTGTAAAAGCGCAAAAGCGAAATTGAATCAAGTCCAGCTATAAAAACCTCCCCATATACATATGCTATGTGACATAATATTTTTTTCTGATTTGGATCCAATGCCTAACATACGTCGAAAGGAAGTTGTCCACTTTAAGTGAAGGGCTCAAATTTGCATCAAGATTTCCACTAAGATAATGAATGATAGAGGAAATGATAGCAGCAAACATTTTATTTCCTATTTCTTTGAGTGTATCTTTGTGCGTGTGTGTGTGTGAGTGAATGTCTATGTGGAGTGTGCTTGTGTGTGTGTGTGTGTGTCAGTTATGAATTTAACTTAATTTCTCGCAAAAACCAAGTCAAGCTATTAAAAAATACTGTCCAAAAATGGAATACTTTAATTCTGAAATATGTATGGCGTAGTAGGAATAGAATCCACGATACTGAATTCGCTCTCGTTCCGTTCTCGTTCGCTTGATGTGTGTGTACATACTCGTATTTAAGGAGCATTATGCAAATGCCCGATGAAAGGACTACAATGATATACATTAAATCGTAATCCAAACAGAGGGCAAACCAATTGTTGCTTTGTTCTTTTTCATATTTCCGTTTCGTTGTTCGTTTGGTTCGTTGAATAAAATATTGAGCTGGCGAATTGCAACTATTAGTAATTTAAATGTTGTACATAAACCCACAAAGAACCTAGCCTAAAGGTATGTATTTTTAAACGAGATTCAGCAGCGACTAGGCAGGCAGCCAAAAAGGACAGAGGGACAGAGGCAGGCGGCAGATGACCGATCAATTGAGATGGAAAGGAAAATTCAAGAAATCTGTATGGGGGATTACACTGATAGCTAACAGCAACGCTGAGCAGTAACAACAATTTTTTTTTTGTGCTCACAGATACGCATCCTTGTGCGTGTGGGTGTGCATCCTTATACATATATATATATATATATATATATATATATATATATATATATATATATATATACTTAAATGTATCTGATATCTGATATGATATGGGAGCTAGACTCTAAGCTATTAACAGATGCGATAGACGATAGACGATAGACGACAGATGACAGACGAAAGTATATTAACTGCGGAAGCCAACAATTTTTAATTATGCACTTTTTATAGATCTTATCGATGAGAAATATGGTCGAGCGATCATTTAGAGCACGGGGGAAAATGGAGATCAATATGAGAGTAATGGATAATGGATAATTGATAATGGATAATTGATAAATATACATAAATTACATAATGTTTTTATTGAAGAACAAACAACAAATGGCTGACAATTTTAAATTTATACGAAAAGCGAAGAGCTTTGCCTCTTCATATGAGAGATGAGAAAAACCCCAGAGCATAAACAAAATAAAAAATGAAAAGGAAATAATACTTACAACAGAATATTTAAGAATTAACGAGTACTCATGCACTGGCAAGGATTATTTCATATACATAGTTATTTACACATAACGAAGGAAGGATGGGATCGGATCGGAAATATTGAAAGGCATTTTAACAAATTAGTCAATAAATTAATGAAAATCGCGGAAAAATACAAAAACAAAAAACGTAAAGGTAAAGGTTAAAGCTAACACACAAACACACACACATGCAGAGGGAGTATCTAATCCAAATACATACACATATACTACATACATGCATATATATATATACTTCGTATATATATATATTTTGTCAACATTGTTAAATAGCAAACTAACAAAAAAAGAAAAAGCAAATGAAATGAAAGCCAAAATCGAGGAAAAATTACAATTTAATTAATATTCAGCGACAAATAAAATAAAGAAAGCAAGCAAAAAACCAACAAAATACGAAATACACAAAAGGATAATGCTACGAAAATAAAATAACTGTTCATTAATATTGCTAAACAAAACAATTTATTTATATATATATATATATATATATATATATATATATATATATATGTATATGTATAAATATATATGTATATGTATATAAATATAATAAAAGTATTTTTTTTTTGCAAAAATTGCGCGGCATATTGTATGCTAGAAAAGAGATAAGTGCACATTAATTAAGGATTGGGAAAGAGTGTCAGCGAGAGAAAGTGACGGAGAAGTAGAGGGGATAAGCGGATAGAAAGTATTGAAAGGAAATGAATGAAAAGGAGCGAAGGAAAAGAACAATTTATGCATATTAAAATTAAATTTACAAATACGCTACGATTCTAACAGAATAAGTTTACACCCACACACAGACACAAGCGCGCCAGAAGAAAAACTTAAACTAAAATTATTAATTAAAGAACTAAAAATTTCACGAATGGAAAATGCAGTCGGGAGAAAATTTAAAATTAAATTTAAGCTACAACAAATCTAACAAAAAGCGAAAGTGAGCAAGCATTCAAAGGAAAAACTTAACAGAACAAACAACAAATTATTATGTTCAATAAAAACTGCAAAAACAAAAGAGTAAAAAATACAAAATACAAAATAAAACAAATGAAATCTTACAAAAACAATATTTCGCATTTTGCGAATCTTTTTATTTCGCGTGGAGATACTCGTACCTTTTTAAGAGTTCAACATTTTGCTACAGGAGTAGAAGGAGGAGCAGCAGTGGCAAATCAATTCATCTTGGCTAAATCCTCTTTTTCATCTGTGGCCTGATTCCACGGTGCCATCACACAGTACCCCGTACCGTACCCGTTCGCAAACTGCTTTTCTGCTGGCTTGCAATAATTTCATTTTCCCAACAATTGAACTGGCAAAAAGGGAGCCCCTCCACTGCTGAAAAAAGGGGAAAACATGCGGGGCCACAGAGCAAAAGGAGAGCGCCGGAAACGGGAAGTGGGGAAATATACAGGGCCAGTGGTGGGGGTGGAGAAACAGGATAGACAGGCAGCACCAGCCATGGTTCCATGCTACACGATACCTCTTCCACCGAAGATTCATGCGAAATAGACAATGGACACCTCTCTGCATTTGCACCAAGTGATGCTAATATTCAGCTTTCAAGCGCTAAACATCTCCATACTAAAATAGTGTCGGTAGAAAACGTATCGTGTAATTGGAGGTATCGAAATGAAGGCTCCCCTCGTTCTCGCTCGTTCTGTGCCACGCTCCAGTTGCGTTTTCAGTTGCCGCTGTATTTGGATAGAGAGAGGGAGCAGAGCAGTGGGTGGAGAGATGGGTAAAAGGGGGAAATTTGGTATGTGGCAAGTGGAATCATGGGGAAAGATGAGATAAAAGGAAAACAGCCGAAGAAAAGGTGAGTGCCAGCGGTGAGGACGACGACGATGACGACACCGGGGACAACTTTTGAGTCAGCTGTCTAAACACGGAAAATGCATCAAATTGCAACAGGAGCAACAGCAGAGCCAACAGCAACAGCAGCAGTGGCAAATCATCAAAAGTCATATCTCTTTCATATTATGCCAGCCCCTTTACAGCCACCACGGCCCGCCGCCGCCCCCTCCTCCTCCCCCTTTGCCCCCTGTGCTTTCTGGAGCGTGTAATATCCGTTTCCTGCATTTCCGGTTGCAGGCTAACGCCACGAACGCAAAGGACGAACGCGGAGCAGAGTTGCCTGAAAATTGCTAGCGGAAATGCTGCAAAATTAACGAGCAACGCGGTTAGGGAGGTGCGGAGGTGGAACGTGCAGCATGGTGGCATGGATCCAGGTGGCAGTCAACAGGCAGACGCTACGAATACCATTTACTATTTGCCAAGGACCACGACCAGGACCAGGACCAGGGCCGGGACCAGGACCAGGAGCCCAAAGTTAATGCAAACAATTTTTTGCGCTTCAAAGAAGCATCTTTTCATGTTGTTGTTGTATTCCATCTTTTACCATTTTTCGAACGGGCTCCGGGCTCAGCAAAATGCAAATTCTCTCGCCGAGCCGGAGCCGGAGCCTGAGCCGGTGCTGGTGACGAAGTCAGAGTCCAGCTGGGAGGCAAAAGCGGTAGCAGCTGCAAATTAGACGCATCGCTTAACCAGCAATGACATAAAGCAGCCAAGTGGCAACACAAGCGCTAACAACGTCCTGGAGTCACCATCATCGTCATCCCAGTCGCCATCATCTCGTCTCAAATCAACACAAAATATGAAGCAAATCCAAGCTTTCCGGAACCGAAACTTTTGATACCCTTGCAAAATTATATTTACCATCTCTCCGATATGATACCTCTAGTAATACGATTTGGATCTTCTTCGGCAAAGGTAAATATGTATTTTCACTGAATCTACATTGGTTGAATCATCCATCATAGTTCTTCGATAAATGATGGCTACATATGTGCCCAGACGAATGGACACAGACCAGGAGACTGATCAAGAATATCCCCTTGCAGAGGGTATAATTATGGCAAAAGAAAACTCTGCTTGGACAAGGGTATGCTGGAATACGAGGTACAAGAGATAGCAAAAGAGATGGCTAGAGGTGGATAGGAGGAGACGGGGAGAATGGTGTCCCTGTCCGTTGAGGGCAAATAAAGCATATGAAATTAATGAGCTCGTCACGTTTTGCGTATGGCCAACTGGTTCGGGGTCACCTTAATTATGGCCACAATTAACAGTTTCACCAGGCTCCTCCACCAGGCTCCATCAAAGGGCATGCCACACAGCGGGAAAGAGAGAGTGAGAGGGAGAGGGAGAGACAGAGACAGAGACAGACGGAGAGAGCAAGAGAGCGAGACAGATGGTGTGGTGCCACACATTTCATTTGGCAGGCCTGGCCACCATATCTCTCTGTCCTGTGGCTCCGGTTGTGGCTCTGTGTGGAATCTCATTACAAATTCAAATGCTTTGCATGAGCGCTGTCCTCCTTACCCCGTTGCCCCTTCTTCGTTCACAACTACCTGCCACCGTGCCACATGACCCTCTCTGTCCACCTCCCTATCTCTCCCTCGCCCTCTCCCTCTCTGCGCTAGCCATCACTTGACGCTGTCCGCATGGCAAATGTTTCAGACCACGTTGTCACTCAATTATGTGCCAGGTGCGCAAAGCGTAGAATACTTTTCAGCACCCATCGCATTGCCCACCCACAGCCGCAGCCACCCTCGCACGGGTAGGTGGAAGTGGAAGTAGAGGTAGAGGTAGAGGTGGAGATAGGGCCCCGAGTGAGAGACAGACAGCTTTGGTGCAGCTGACCAGGTGACATAAATAGGAAAGGATTTCCGTGTGTGTACCAAACACTTCAGCCAGGAGAGGGGACTGACAGTGGACAGAGTCTTCAGAGTATGGGATACCCTGTGCAATGGCAACAAGGCAAGTATGTTCATCCACAGGCAGTAACAGAAGCTAAAGGATCGTAAAAAATATCTATACAAAAGACACAATATATTTGTTCATCGTTCTTTTTTGTACATCGTTAGTTATTTGTATTTATTATTATTTGCCATTCCAAATTTAATGTTAATGATGTATGTTTATCCAACACTACTCTCGTCTGCTATTCTCATACTCTCTCTACTATTGTCAAGTAGGCATTGATATTTGATTTGTTTATTCATTCGCCAATTGTCCCGACAATCACATAGAAATCGGAAAAGAAAAAATTGGAAATATAAAAACCTCCCATAAGCATAAGAAAGCAAAGGCTAGAGTAAGTTAGCAAGTAAGCAAGTAAATAGGTGACCAATATAAAATAGTGGCCGTTTTCGTTGATAGCAAAACAATGTGGCAAGCTTCTGCAGAACGAAAGATCATGGAATATCTTCGAAAAAGACCAGAAACTTCGACTGACATGGAAAAGGAAATTTCTTCGGTGGGGAATAAAAAGAAATGTATGTATGAGTACAGAAAGTAAGCAGCAATGTTTTACTGAAACCGAAATTGTTTCCGTTTTAGTCATCTGTAATAAGTCAATACAGGAAAATATTCGCATGACCGTGAAGGTAAACTGCGATGAGGTGTTCTGTAGCCACAGTTGCATGATGAAGGCCATTCGAGAGCAAAAGGCCAAGGTGGTCATCGTCGCCACCAAGACGCCGCCCTCGCAGAAAGCCGAGATTGAGCATTACGCCAAGGTGGCCAAGTGTCAAATCATTTACTACGGCGGCAGATTTATTGAGTGCGCGAACTCGTGCGGGAAAGTCTTCCTCTTTTGTACAGTGGCCATAAGCACTCAGAAAGATGCAGCCATCATCCGTTCGTTGTCGGAAAAGTTAGTGGCTGGCATTGCTCTGTTTTTGGATGGCAAAGACGTAACAAATTAAATCGGCTGTCAAAATCCTCTCCCAAATACATCAAAAAATAAAATCAGAGGATATTTACGTATGTGAAACCCTGCAAAACTTGGTGGGTGGTATGGGGGAAGCAGCAGCATTCTTCACACATTGGATTCGAAAGGTGATTATCGTCGAACCCCCAGAATCACCGAGTGCTTTGGCATCTGTAACGCTCGCTCTCTCCTGCTCGGTCGATGCTCATTCGCAATTTTCCCCTGCTCTCCTGTCCTGCCCTGTCCTGCCCTGTCCTGTCCTCTGCTCTGCCCTCCTTTCGTTTCCTGTGGATGCTGCAGTTTGACGAACTTTGTCACCCGATAAATAATGCAATTTGTAATTAAGTCAGTCAACCAGTTAGTCGATGCGGCGGCCAGATAAGTGGGAGGCACCAGGCACCTGGCGGTAGCCAGGGATAGGAATATGTTGCAGCCATCTGTGTGGCGGGTAATTAGAAATCGTTGGCAAACAACACCTAAAGCGAAAGACATACATACGTGCTACATATGTATCTGCATATTTTTCCCACCACGAGAGCAGAGCGTCTTGCCAAACGGGGACGGAGCAATCCCAATTGAAGGCACTTGAAGGATGCTCAAGCGAAGCTTGTGGCGTGTATGGCTTGTGTGGGGGCATGGTAGTGCGTGTTTGCTGCATGGCACTGATGGAATGTTTGATTAACGAAATATTTAGAATGTTAATTAAGGTAAATGGGGTTGGCCACAAGATGCAAAGTGGCGAGTGCTCCGCCACAGTGGATGGTGATGTTATTAGCACATACCTAAACGCAGTCGCTCAGTCGCTCGGCTTACACCCACAGCTTACACGCCGTCACACACTCATGCATGCATGTGGTGCATGCAACAATGGGCGGGCAAGAAGGGAGGAATGAACACACACCCATTTTCTGCGCAGCAATCGTGGAACAGCAGAGGGTATATTGTACCAATGGAGATGTATGCAGAAGAAAGCAGTCCTTGCAGTATCGGATAAGGATAGATTTGGTGCAGGGTACACCAAAATCCATTTCAATCAAAAAAGCAGGTATCCTTGTCTCCATATGGCCACTATTAGAGCGGCGTTCGTATGAGTGGTGTTTCTTCTTTTTGGGGAAACTGTCAACGCCCGCAAATTGTCATTGTCCTGCAGGGACTTTTGCTCGATTCCCATTGTTAGTGCTCCGCCTCCGCCTCCGCCGCCGTCCCCGCCACTCTCTCACTGCCGCACACTCATTTGTTGGAGCTTACGCTTAATGCAGCAACCAGACACACAACGCGTGTAACGTAACCCACCCAACCATCAGCCTCCCCCCCCCCCCCCCCCTGGCTCCCTGCCGTTCAGCCATTCATTTGCATGAAAGATGCATGGAGCATGGGGCATGGAGCGGTGGCGGGAGACCATTACGCAACATGTTAGCGTATTTGTGCAAAATTAATTCTTTATCTCTCCCTCACTCTCTATCTATGTATCTTTTGTTGCTTTTGTGCTGGCACCACCCGCACGGCACCGCACCGCACAGCCCGCCGCACCAGCATGGGAAAACAAAGGAGGACGAAAAAACGACAAAAAGCGAATACTGTTATTTCACAAAAACCAAAAGGAGGAAAGGCTTGTCCAACATACGAAGTCTTGAATACCCTACCCCTGTTCACTTCTTTGCCAACAAAAAGATACAGTAGTCCGATATAAGCATGTGTAAAAGTGTCGCAGAAGAGGAAACTGATTTTGGTCGGGAATGAAGCTCTTTATCTCGTTAGTAGAGTGCTGCGAGGGTGTACAAATTTCTATTGGAGTTTGGCTTGCATATTTGTGTGCTTCGGGAAGTGGAAAGTGGAAAGTGGCAAGTGGGAAGTGGCAGGTGGGAATGGAAATGGAAATGGGATTGCCAAGAGGAAGCGCTAAAGCGAGACATCTGTTGGCAGCGAAGAAAAAGCGAGAAACCATCCAGCCATTGACTTTGGCACAAAACCGTTTTAAAGAGAACTCCCATAATCGAATGCACATCTTTCGAACGGAAGACATTCGCCACGAGTGGCTCTGGTGTTTTCCCAATAAAATACATATTAACAAGTGATCGGCACTTCGAAAGAGTTACAACCTTGCAGGGCCATAAAATGGTTAATGAGAGAGCAGAGAGAGTTGCTAGAGGTGGAGACAGAGGGAGTCGGCAATGCGGATGTGGAGGGGAAATGCCACTTTGCGGTCAACAGGAACAGCACGACACGTCAGGGCACGCCCTTCCATTCGCTGCACTGCACCCACCTGTCCGCAGGCGCCACTGCCCCTGCCACCGCCCCTGCCCCTGCCCCTGCCTCTCTGTCTATCTGTCCGTCTGTGTAGTGCTCTCTTTCAGTCTGTGTCCATTTTCCCAGTGGGTGCGATACACGTTTCATTCAATTTATTTGCCATTTCCCATTTCAATTCGTTTCGGGCCGCCAATTACCCAGCGTGGACCCTGGTCATGGGCATCGCCTCTACCTTCCCCTGGCCTCTGCCTTCTCTCTCTTTTCTGCACATCATCTTTCAGGCCGTCGTCCATCGTGACCATCCGGAGCATCCTTTCCCTGGCTGAGTGTGTGTGGCTCAGCTTGAAGCCGTTTCACGCAGCGACGTTGCAAAAACAATGCTGTTGCAAAGATACAGCAGAAAAGCGAGCGGGAGAGAGAGATAGAGCCAGAGAGACAATGTCAAGAGAACCAACAGCAGCAGCAGCAGGGGGAAAGGGGAGGACAGTGGGGTGACGTGCGGATGCGGCGGCTGCTGGCAGTGCCACATCATCATTAGCATATTGACATGTGGCCAAATTTGGTCACGTTCCATTTCATTTCAATCCATTTCGACATCTCGAACGGAGCTCAAATCAATTTCCCGTCTGTATTGTTTCGAGCCTTCGATCCCTACCCCTTCTATCACTCTTTGTCCCTCTCTCTGTCGCCTCATTTCTCTGTGGGTTCTATATAATGCAGATAAGTCAAGAACCATACTTGGCCCACAGCAAAATGAATTGGGAGGGAGGGGGAAACACACAGGCGAACGGCCAAGAAGGGCCAAGGATGGAATACAGCCACCGAACTGCGTAAGAGACTAATTGGTGTTTGTGCCTCATACACTGGGAGAAAGAGTGGATCATTTGCGGATATTGAATGTTGGGAGGTGCGCATAAAAGAGGCCCAACGACTGGAGGACTACTTAATGGAGTAGCAGATGGCTCTTTTTCGAAGTCATACCTTACTCCGTCAATTATCTCTCATACGAACTACTGAACCTTCTGAAAGCAGCAATATTTAGGTGAAAGTTAATGCTTAAAAGTTGTACACAAAGGGACAGTTCAGGATAAATTTGAGTGACTTTCCCAAGTAAATTGGTCAATAAGGTCAACCAATGCAGGAAGTCTTTTTGGAAGACTCCTCAAAAAGAATTCGGAATTAAAATCATTAGAAATGGAGCTATATTACACTCATTTCGTACATCATATCCTCCACCACATCAACCGATTCTAATATTGATTTGAATTTGATGGAAATATTGCTTCAAAGTGTTTCCAAATATCCACATCACATACATATGCATACAAGATTAAAAAGAGAGATGAAGTTCCGTTGGAGGGTGCCTACGTCTCAGGCACTGACCCCCCTGACCATCTTGTCTTAAAGTTTCACATCAGTTAAGCGAATTCCTGCTGCAACGGCAGCTTCCGTTCGATCTTCGATGGACGGAATTTTGCCTCAAATATTTTCTCTGTTTTTCCGCTATCTCTGTTCTCATTGAGCTGCCAGGAATGGCAACAGCAGCAATAGCAAAAGAAGCAGAAGCAGCAGGAATCGCAGACAACCAGCAACATCACAAACAGGAAGCATCAGCACTCAACGGATTCGATGGGGACTCCCAGGCAGATAGCAGATGGGAGATGGGAGAACTATTTGCGGAGGACAGGGATTGTAGAGGAATTGGCTGAGCCCTGAGTCTAATGCCAGCTAAGAAGTCGGCCAGTGCCTTTGACAGGCTTTTGCTGCCACACCCAATGCTCTCCTCCTCGATAAGGAAAAGTTGAACGAGAAATGTGTAGCATCTATCCACCCATCTTCGATAAGTTTTCCTCTGGCTCGCAATGAGCTCTTCTATTTTCTTATATTTTTCATTTTGATTGTCTCGAGCAGCAACTTTTCTTACGCTCCATTATAAAATGCGAGTGAAGTGGAAGAGGGAGTACGGGATTGGGGCTTGGGCTTGTGTTGGGGTTGGGGTTGGGATTGGCGCTTGGGTTGGGTTTAGGGGAAGCAGCTTTTGGCACGAAATAATATTTGCATAATAGCAAACAGAACAAACTGCAGGTCTCCGGCTCTGGTTCGGGTTCTGGTTCTGGTCTCAGTGCCGTTCCTGGTACTTGGCCAAAAGATGACAAATGACATTAAGGAGGCTTAGCGCTTGCGTTTTTGCCGCTTTATCAACTACCCAGAGAGACAGATGGAGAGAGTGGACAGGGACGGGGACAGGGACCCATCTCCCCTCATCACCATCATCAGCGTCATCATCGCATTTGGAATTTGACTTTCAAAACGAATGCAGTCAGTCTCCAGTATCAGGCCCCCACGTCCCATGCCATCCCATTCTATCCCATCCCATCCCAGCCCGTCCCAGCCCGTCCCAGCCCGTCCCAGCGCTCCAGCCCTGTGTTCCTCCAGGCAGCCAGCAACGCACACTTGTGCATCCGGCGACCTCGTCCTTTGCCACCGATGGAGACTCTCAGCCACGAGGCCTGCTCCGCCTCCTGCTTCCATCCACAGACTGCAATTATTTTTTGCGCGATGGCACGGGGAAAGTGGAACAGGGAACGATGAGAGGCGAACGCGAACGCGAACGAAACGAGGAACGGAACGTGGAACGTGCAGCGCTCTTTGATCCTCTTCGGCCATATATTTGCTAACGACAATGACAGCGATGTCTACCAAAGATTCAGGTGTACATATATACATACGTACATATATACGTATACAGTTATATGTATATA